CCTTACTGTAATATCACTGTGACACAGCTCACTGTGACACCCCTTACTGTAATATCACTGTGACACTGCTCACTGTGACACCGCTCACTGTAATATCACTGTGACACAGCTCACTATGACGCCCCTTACTGTAATATCACTGTGATACAGCTCACTGTGACACCCCTTACTGTAATATCACTGTGACACAGCTCATTGTGACACCCCTTACTGTGATATCACTGTGACACAGCTCACTGTGACACCGCTCACTGTGACACCCCTTACTGTGATATCACTGTGACACCGCTCACTGTGATACCCCTTACTGTAATATCACTGTGACACAGCTCACTGCTACACCCCTTACTGTAATATCACTGTGACACCACTCACTGTGACACCCCTTACTGTAATATCACTGTGACACAGCTCACTGTGACACCGCCCACTGTGACACCCCTTACTGTAATATCACTGTGACATCACTCACTGTGACACCCCTTACTGCAATATCACTGTGACACAGCTCACTGTGACACCGCTCACTGTGACACCCCTTACTGTGATATTACTGTGACACAGCTCACTGTGACACCGCTCACTGTGACACCCCTTACTGTGACACCACTTACTGTAATATCACTGTCACACAGCTCACTGTGACACCCCTTACTGTAATATCACTGTGACACAGCTCACTGTGACACAGCTCACTGTGACACCCCTTACTGTAATATCACTGTCACACAGCTCACTGTGACACCCCTTACTGTAATATCATTGTGACACCGCTCACTGTGACACCGCTCACTGTGACACCGCTCACTGTGACACCGCTCACTGTGACACCGCTCACTGTGACACCGCTCACTGTGACACCGCTCACTGTGACACCGCTCACTGTGATATCACTGTGACACCGCTCACTGTGACACCCCTTACTGTAATATCACTGTGACACAGCACACTGTGACACCCCTTACTGTAGTATCACTGTGACACCGTTCACTGTGACACCCCTTACTGTGATATCACTATGACACCGCTCACTGTGACACCCCTTACCGTAATATCACTGTGACATCACTGCTCACAGTAATATCACAGTGACATCACAGTGGCACCGCTCACTGTGACACAGCTGACAGTGACATCACAGTGACGTCGCTCACAATGACGCCACTCACTGTGACATCGGTACTGCTTTGATGTCGATTCAGATATCAGGCACGACTGATGTTCTCTGCGGATGGGAATCAAACTCGCGTGGCCATGCTTTATGGTGTTGTATGCAAACCACTGCACCACCTCTTCTTGCCTTCTTGCCTTGTTTGGGATTATTTTAAATACGTTTACATGAATGTAATATAGCATATTTAGAGATGCAGTAGGAATATATAAAAAAAACTATAGTAATCACGTAAATCTATTTTTGTTGGGCAAATTAGTGTGTGGAATACGCTGCCTTTAAATAGAGGGTTTTAAGCATTCACACATTGCATATTTTGGCATTGATTTGATAACATGTGGTGTGAATTGTGTTCTGGAGATTAAGCTCATAAAGCCGAATACAGATTTCCTCGAATTAATTTCAACTGCCTGAGATTTACATTTCAAAGCGAGTAATGCGGACATCACGGAATAATACGCCTGTGTCAAACGGAACTCTGTGGAGTTGTGATTAATTTTATGTTTGCTAATGGCAGATCTGCACGGGCTAGATGTAAAAAAAATAAGTGCGGTTTTTATATGTTACTACATTGGCAGTGGTGCAGAAGTGCAAAAAAATAACAAAAGACTCAACACATACGTCAAAAACCACTGCCCTAAAAGTGAAAAAATACACATAATAGGCGACATTTTGGAAAATGTTACTTCTTTTAGCAAAGTGAAATTAAGATATATAGTAAACATAACAGAATGAATAAGAAAGTACACAATGTACACATTCAGAAACAATATATTGCATCAGATGATTGAGACAACTTAATTAAACATTTTAGGATATTCAAATAAAATTTTTCCAGCAATCGGCCTTCTTTTAGCCTCGGACCATTACCCGAAACGTCGCGTTTAAAAAATATTTATTTTTTCCCCATTTATTCACGAATGTGTTGAGTTTTTTGTTGCTGTACAGGCGAGAGCATTATTGTTTGTTTTGGATGCAGGTATTGAAACATATGGTTCAACCATATGCCCGTTCACCACAGCCAGCATTGATTTAACCTTTAAGAAACACAGCGGTATTAATAAGACCCCGCGTTTTACAACTACGTCCTTGTAATTGAGTCGTGCATCTGATCGTAAGGCTAAGTTTTTTCATGTAGTACCGTAATTATGCTCTGCACTATATATAAAGCGTATTTTGCTGAATTTAATGAGGTACAACTTGAATCGCATTGTATTTCAGACACAAACGTTCGTCCACGTTCTATAATGTATTTCATATACACCAACCAGCAACATTTGCAGCGTGTTTTGATATTGCTGGTAACTTGTTTAAATTTAGCAGACTACACAGGACTTAATGGCTCTACCTCACAGTGTCACTGGCAATCATGGCACGGTGTAATTCCTACAAGTTATAAAGTACCATCCTTCTATCCTCATTGGGATATTTACTACACAGCATCTCCTGAATCCGCCGTTGTAAATGTGCATACCGCGGAATCATCTCCCGGTAAATCCCTGTGCACTACTATCTTCGATACCCTTGTAACGATGCATGTAATCGCCCGTGAGCACTCCTCCTACATTCACGATCAATCAAGCCCCACACCATTTATAACTAGCTGAGATTTCCACTATTCTTCTTTCGTACGGCCGATGTAGATGCAGAGCAACGACTACAATTTCACATTCAGGCGGTCAGGCCGGAGAACCGCCACGCCAGGAGTAGCGGAGTGTATCGCTGTGATGTCTCCTTCGTATTTGTGGATCGGGAATTGCGTTGTTATACGTTGTGCAGTCTATTCTGGACGACCACAGTCGCGTACTGGCAAGTTTTACATTTTCCATGTGTGTGTGTGTCACGTATTCGCATCTTGCCATGGTTTGTGCAGCGGATGCGGTTTAGGGGGGGACCATGGGTTCCGTAGAAGATCAAACAACAGCGGATACCGTTCCGTTGAGAGAGAGAGAGAGACAGTGTAGGCAAGGGTCGACTATTAATAAATCGTAATGTTCGGTCGTAATCCATCCACTGCTGGATGAAGGCGTCACCATCCCTTACAGCCCTGTGATGCAACAATATACCTCGCGCCTGCACACTGCAGGCTGATTTCGTCATTCCATCACCTCGTTTGACGACCTGTCGGACACATTTCCAGGAGAAATATCCCAAAAAGTAAATGAGTGCCGCCATAGCGCGCGTTAAAAATCAACAAGGCGATGAAGGTGAACTTATTGTCCATCTGGGCAGAGCAGTGGTGCAATGGTAAGCGCTACCGTGCTATGAACCTGGCTGACTTAATTAGATTCTTGGCCATGGCTAACAGCAGTTGCTAAGGCCTTTCCTACTGACTTCACAGGCCCACATTGACCGGCAGGGTGACATGATATTTGATAATCTCCCTTCTCTGACAACTGTCACAATCGTTTTAGAGCCTACACAGACTACTCTGCTATATATATACTGCGCCATGGATTTAAAAAAATACTATATTTCGCAGCGGTGAGCGCACTGCGCAGTGAACCCGGCAACCCAAGTTCGATTCCTAGCCACGACTGGTGTTGGTGGGGAGTGATATCTGAACTGATCCTGGGGCCCCTTCCACACCAACTTCACCGACCCACATTAACCAGTTTGGTGAAGTGTGCTCAATAAACCTCGATGGACCGACATTACATGAGGATTAAAGCCTTCGTCCGGCAGTGGATTGACAAATGACTCGGTATTATTCCTCTCAATTGTATAATCACATTAACCATGTCAAGCTATTACACGTGTGAACTTTCACATGGTAATACACAAGAGTTGGTCATTCTTCCCAGCACCCTCCGCACGTCACTGTGTTCCCCATAACAACCCTCCCCCTGTGTGTGCGTGTGTGCGTTCACCCAAATAGCCTGCTGTCGTGTAAAGAGCCCGGAGGTACGGCTGTATATAGAATACGCCTGCAGTTTTTTCCCCCCCTCTAAATCCAGATTCCTCCGCCAATCTGCTTCATCAAATGGTGCAAACATTCGACCAACATTGACCGATGTTGGTCCAACGCTAGGCCAACGTTGGGCCAACATTGGTTGACTGTTGGCCCACTGTTGACCCAACGTCGCATGTTTATTGGTATGTGTGCTTAATTAATGGCAGTAAAACAACGCTTGTCCACGTGGGGATTTGACCATCCTTTATTACACGGGAGCATGTAAGTGCAGTACAACCATTGCTTTTGCTGCACTGTCCCGTCACATGGAATTCTTCTGTTTGACAAACTCGAGAACAAGAAACTTGAGTTCAACCGCTTCATTTGAGACCTTAAAATTAAATTAACGAACACAGTGTGGCCAGAGATCAATGTGCTGAGAGACACTATTATCATGATTTTGCGTTTCTTACAACCATTGCTTTTGCTACCGTGTCCTTTGCTGCCCACCATTTTGCCCGCTAATAAGCCCATTTACAACCTGCGTGTGTGTGTGTGTGTGGTCAGCCGGGGAGCGGGAGTGTAGCGGTTAGCGTGCTGCTCTACGAACCCGGCGACCTGAGTTCAATTCCTGCTCATGGCCAACACCAGTGACAGTTATCTGAATCTCTCTGGGCCTCCCCCAAGGTCGACTCAGCTTCAAATGAGTACCTAATGCAGTGTCTAAACATCGCCACCAGGGAGACAAAGGCAGTCAGGCGTAGTGCTGCCCACCCACCCCCTCGTTTGCCATTCCGGCCGTCCATCAGTGCTTGCTAACAGCACTTGCCCCAACAGTGTGTTAAGGTTATACGGGGGATCTGTGTATTTGGTGGTCACCTGACCGAGTGCTATCCAGGTTTTGACTCGGCTTCGCTTCTTGTTGTTGTTTTTCAGCGTGGGCTGCCGGTCTGGCCAAGCGTTTGGGATGGGGTTTGGGCTGCTGCTGCTGCTGCTGCAAGGCTCAGGGCTGCGCAGGACCCTCCGGGGCTGCCTCTGCTGCTGCTGGCTTCTGCTGGCGTTGCTGGTGCCGTGCGCGAGCGGGGGCGACTGCCGGGGGAAGCGACTCGTTCTTAACGGCACTCACGGGGAGGTCACGGACGGACCGGGCAACTACTCTGCCAACGGCAACTGCGAGTGGCTCATCACAGGTGAAAGGGATAAATAATTCACACACCTTCGCATCTTCGCATTGTTCCACCGCAATTTACCTCTGTTGTACCAAAATCCGATACAAGACTAATGTACATATGCAGCCCATTAGCCAACCCGCTGCTGGATGGCTCGCCTCACTACCTCATGCAGGTCGTGGGGGGCGAGTGAGTGTTGGTGGAGGTGGGGAGCGTAGACGTTGGAGTTTAGTGAGGACAGCACAATAATGGACGACCTGCAACAGGCCTGAGGAAGCCTTCATCCACCGTTGGATTGACAAAAGGCAGCGATGATTATATTCCTGGACATTTTTTTGTTACATTATCCTCACATCAAGCGGGCGTAAATTATTGTTATTTAGACAGAGACAATGTTGGATTACATTTTTAAAATAAAATTGTTCGACTGCATCAACTGGCAATGTAATCACGTATGCTGTAAATCATGCTTTGACTCGCGAGAATCTCTCCAACATTGCCAATGATAACAGCAGCACGAGCTGTAGTAGCAGGAGCCACAGTTGCTCGCACTGCACTGCAGCTACATTCTCATCGCCGTTACTGCAGTGAGTCTGTAGGTTAGGTTGTGCAAGCCCAAACGCATTGCCGTGCCCCGCGGGACAGCTGCTGCAAGTGTTTTCTGGCGTTGAAACGTGCCGAAGATTCTCATACACGGGGGGGGGGTGTTATCGTGGTGAAAACCGACGCTTGGAAGTGTGATCCTCTCCAAGGAAACCCCGGGTCGAATTGTAACAACGTGTTTTCAATGTACGCACACTAAATTGGTCAGATTCCCATCACTTTAAGGTACCAACCAGTCAGTCCACGCGGGGAATTACGGGGAGCTTTTGCAATAAATGTAAGTGATTTTACAGCAATATTAAGTGAGATTTACCTTAGAGATGCTGCATGAATGGCATTGGCCAGGTGCCATGAACGTACATGTGCTGCATATTTAACATTGAGGTTGAAAACCTCGATGCATTCATTAGCGTTGCCCGTCTGTCCGTAACGGGGGGGTGGGCGGAGGGGTGGAGGGATTGGGGGGGCGGGGGGGCGGGGGGTGGCGGAGGGGGCACTGTAACTCTCGTGAAGATGTTTCAGGGTGAACCGGCCAATGGTATTCAGTTGTGTTGCTGTCAGGAACTTAACCAATTGAAAACCAGACAAATTGATCAAAGGGTTTTCCAGAAATTGGAAAGCCAGTCCATGCTGCTAATCAAATTATTCTTTGAAGGCATTAGCTCGGTTAAAATAACGCCCGCGGCTTTTCTTCGTGCGACAAGGCATATTTACTTGTTTAACTGAGTGTTCAATCGCTTCACATTGAATGTCGCTTCCCAGCTCCGAGCCAAGGTGATCACATTGTCCTCAAGCTGAGGGCGATCGAGACGGAGTGCTCCTATGACTTCCTCTTTATCTACGACGGCGACTCGTACAGCAGCCCTCTCATCGCGAGTCTGAGCGGAAACACTCTCCCAGACGCGATAGTGGCTCGATCGGGAAAGGTGAGCTTCCGCACACATCAGTACAAATGTCGGTGTCGTTGAGATACAGTCCATTCTGCTAGAATGCATAGTATTCGTCACGCAAATTGGATATAACGTGATGAATGTGTTAGGGAACACATTTTTTGTAATGCGAATTGGATAGAACGCCATTGAGTGAACGGAACTACGTCGCGCGAGTAGGAATAAGCGGTCGTACAGCTGGCTCGCGCGTAGCATCAACAAAGGCTTTGGGATGCTGCAGGATGCTTCTAGATGCTACCCACGTTCCTTTGTCTTTATTCAGCCTGTGCACGCACTTCACGTGTTATCGTGGACTCTGCTTTACCATATATTATACATTATTTATTATAACGTGATGTTTCCATAATGCGGTGTTCTAAAGGGGCGCAACTCACGCATTTAAGGATAACAGACTGTATTGGATGACTAGAGCATGTATTCCCCAAAGGAGCCACATGAACAAACCAAATTTGTCTCTCTGACAGTCGATTTTGTTAGGCTTCCAGCGTATTGACTTAATTAACTGCTTAATTGAAAGGCAGTGAAATCTCACCGCTTTTGAACGGATCAGGTTTTTCAGGATAAGTTCACGCTTCACTAATTGCCGCATCCCAAATGGAAGCTCGTCGTTTGTCACATTCCCTCTAAGCTTGCATTTTTGGCGCACGCTTTGTCATTAGTACACGCCGTCGTAATATTCTTACCGGGGTAGTAAAACACTGGCAGCTGCAATAAAAGTCTGTTCAATTATTAATCCGCCGCAAACTGCGCCCGTGCCAATGGCGGGCGGGCGGTCTGCAGATGCTGATCCACCTCTTCAGCGACACGAATTACAACCTGGAGGGATTCCTGGGCACGTACTCCATCTCACGGTGCCCGGCCAACTGCTCCGGGCACGGCGACTGCACGGGCAGCGGCAGCTGCGCCTGCTCGCCAGAGTGGGTCGGCGAGTCCTGCCAAAGCCTACGCTGCGACGTTGCCACGTCCGGCAGTGGCACGTGCTCTGGCCAGGGGACCTGCTTGTCGGTACGTACGACCGCTTCCCTTTCCCGCGCTGTCGCCCCGAGCGCTAAGACGAACCCGAGGATGTGTACTTCTCTCTTGTCCTCTTATTGCGCCTGTTGCTCGCCACTGGAAGAGTCGTAAATGTTTTTTTTTTTACTGCCGTGAAGCACTTCAGTTGCCGACTGGTAATTTAATGGCATAATGAGCAAATGTTTATTCATGCTGCTCGGGTGGGGGGGGGGCGAAGAGTGTGCTCAAAGGGAAAGCCAAGCTCAGGATTAGAAAAAAGAACCCATTGCAAAGGCACATTGTCGGCAACAGAAGCTGACTGCTACACAAGGAGCCCTCAATCGAGCATTAGTCAGCCGATTGCCATTCATTTTAACTTTAATGGTCTTTTGGGCACCTGCTTTATTGTGCCATTTAAGTTGCAGTCTGCAATTCGTAATTACCAATCGCATGTTACAATCATTTTCTTATCGTTCCCCCTGGGGCTGATTGTTTATATATATATTTATTTTTCCCTTCCCCCCTGGAAGAACGGACAATGTCAGTGCTCCTCCAGCCTGCACGTTGGCGTGAACTGCAGCCTGGCTCTGCGCAACAACTCGGACGGGAACAAGTGGCACCTCATCGCGCACACGCAGGCAGCGTTCACGCCGCGCTTGGGAGCTGCGGGGGTGTTCAGCCACGCCACCGGCTGCCTCTATGTGTTTGGAGGCAAGTCGCGGGTCACCGCCCTCCCCCGGGTGTCAAGACGCCGCGGTCGGCTCTCCCGATTGCAGTTTGTTAGGGGTCCCGATGCGTTTGTTCGGCTTTGGTGTCCCGACGGTTTGATCCACGTGCTGGAAGCTTCTTCTGTTCCTGAGGTTCCCAGGAGGTGGGGCAAAACGTCGAACGTCATGCCGAGCAGAGCGCGGGCCCAACCTGAGAAACACGTGGGAGAGAGCCACTCACTCGGCGCAACCGTGAACGCCTGCACCGCACTCACTGCGCCGTGATTTGGTTCAAGGCCGGTTTGACTTCGTGACACATGCATAGGCCCAGTGTAACTGTATACAATTCTAGATAACTGTATACAGTCATACCTCGGTATACGACCGCTTTGGAATACGTCGAATTTGGTACACGTCGTGTTTTGAGAGAGAAGAAAAATGTCTTGGGGTACGACGTCTTGCTTGGGATACGAGGCGCTGCTTGCTAGAACTTGTATGGGCAGGGATGAGTCACCGCATCCCCGCGTAGACCCCGATCGCGAGTGAGACAAAGCGCCGCTCCTCAGTCTGCCTGTAGATCTCGTTCAGTGCACAACCCCCTTTGCTCCAACTCTCTGTGAATTTTTACGTGTTTTTTGTCATTTTTATTTATGTATGCATTTTAGTAATAAGTAGTGTCTACATTATGTTATACAACCACATTAATATATAATTTGCCATGTAAAATAGAATTTCTTATACTCTGGATCAGATTAATCTTCTTTGGTTCTTTCGGTAAAGTCACGTAGAATGAGAATAAAATAATAAATTGATAAAATAAAATAACACAATAATATTCTCACGACGTTTCGGCCACAACACAAGCGGCCTTCATCAGGTGAAGGGACGAGACTGTCTGGAGGACATTCACAGGACATTCACAGTAACTGGGTATACACTACAATGTATAATGAATACTATATAGTGAACCAATAAAAAACTAAAATATAAATTACCTCAATGTTATCAATAAACTCTATATATTCTCCAATCAGCTAAGCTACCAACAATAAGTCGTTATATATCACAATGCTATATGGCGAAAAAAATGGGTGGATTCTTACCCTCAACTTTAGCAACATGGATAGCTCATTCTATGTGACTTTACCGAAAGAACCAAAGAAGATGAATCCTTGCAGTCACAAAAGCTTTAAATCGAAATCTGGATCAAATTATTTCCTTTCCCTTTATTTCTTATGGGAAAAATTCGTTTGGTGGATGTCACTTTCGGTATAAGTCCTACCTTCTGGAACGAATTAACAACGTATACCGAGGTACCACTGTGTATGTATTTTGTTAATCTGTTTAGACACCACATTTGTAATGCATATGTACTTGATGTATAATCTGTAATGAAGGCTGCCCACGCTTTTCACCTGTGCATGCTTGACCCACTCTTCCCCACTCCTTTGTGCATTAACTGGAAAGCCTTAATTATAAAAATACAATAAATTATAATTTGTGCACAGGGCCACCTTGTAAATAAGAGGGCTGTTCTTTCTCTTTCTCACCCCTGTTGCCCTGACAGGTTTCACACTCAGCACGGTGCTTAATGATCTCGTAAAATATAACATCACCAGCGGCAAGTGGGAAAATGCCACGCCCCCTGTTTCACCGGTAAGCAGTAACAATTCTCGCTCTTTGTGTCATTGATCACCTTTACGTCACGTCTAAAGAAGCATGGAGGGAGAGTGACGTGCCTGAAATCACACAGACAGACAGACAGAGGAACAACACATGAGAACATACGCAAGTTTGAGACATCGTTCGGCAGGATGCGTCGCTCGAAAGGATTATGGCGATTGGTCAAGGCTAACGACGGGTTGGCACCCAAAGGAGAGAACGCGCCCGAAAGGAAGTCCGCCGTGGAGATGGAACAATAATCTCCGCTCATGTGTAAGAGCTAGATTTATTGATTTATCTCATGACCGTGAGAGATGTCGATGGCTCGGGAGGCCTTCATCCAGCAGCGTATTGATCGTGGGGACTGTTGTCATGGAGTCCCAGACCATGCAACGTATCGCATGCACCTTGCCACTGAGACCTGTTGCGGGAGGCACTTAATTTCTCCACTTAGCATCTCAGGAAGCCATTGAGTGGATCGCCAGACTAGATGTCCAATTGTAAGCTTTTCCCATCGTACGAACGAAGAAGACGTTTGCGCTTGGACAAACATCGTCACTCATTATATATCGATATATAACCTTAACAGTGCTGAGCGTCCCCCCGCCCCCCCCCCAAAACCCCTCAGGCGCCGTGGTTTTTTTGACGGAACGCAAATGACGGCTGGCACGCGCGTGTCGCCCCCCGCCATAGGAGGGGCGATACCTGCACACAGCGGTGGAGTGGCAGGACGGCATGCTCGTGTTTGGAGGGGAGCTCGCCCGAGGCCGTCTGGCCAACAGCCTGTGGTTTTACAGCCCCGGCGCGGCGAACTGGACACGGCTCTCGGACGAGGTGGCGCCCCTGCCGTCGCCGCCGCCGGGCCTTGCAGGGCACGCGGCCGCCTTGGTTGATGACACACTGTACATTTTTGGAGGTTGGTGAAACCGCATTGGCAGTCCATTACGTTTGTTATTCTTATCACTTTTATAATGCACGTCTTGCTGAGTCAGGTGACGGCCCTGCGTGTCTGTGTACTTTGTTTTTGTTTGTTTTGTTGTTTCACGGTTGAAGGCCCGAAATAACAAGCGGCCAGCAACAAATCTGCACCATTGAAGTTGTAATAGACACGAGTTCATTCGCTTCTTGAATTGAGCAAGGTTATTGTCAAGAGCTGAGGAAACGAGACGATTGATGAAGGGAATTCCAGAACCGAAGAGTGTGAGGGGGAAAGAAGCAGAAAGAGTAGGGTTGTAACATGCAAGTGTTGTGGTTGTACGAGTGAGTTCGTGGATATGTCATGCTGTGAGTGAGTGTGTTGTTGTGGTGAGCGGTAGTGTAGCGATAGTGTAACGAACCTGGCTATGACCCGAGTTCGATTCCCACTCACGGCCAACACCTGTGATGATTATCTGAACCAGTCCTAGGCCTCCCTTCGGTTGACTCAGCCTCAAATGAGTACCTGGTGCAATGTGTAAACATCGCCACTTTGGAGACAAAGGCAGCCCGGCGTGGTTCTGTCCACCCACTCCCTCGTGCGCCGTGCCAGCCTTCAAAGGTGCTCGCTTCCAGCACTTGCCCCAACAGTCTGTTAAGGCTATAAGGGGGTTCTTTGTCTTTCTTGTTGCGATCTGACACGCAACGCTGTCTGGTAGACCGAGTTTGTGTAGTCTTGACATGTGCTTATTCACTGTATATATTTATAATGACAATGTCATCACCTTCCGATGTAGTGATTCGCTGTCTTTACCAAGGCGCGAGGGCAGATTGCGATAATGTGCATATTTTGTAATGGAGACCCGGAGAAAAGAATCGGGAATTTACCGGTGCTGGAGTACAGCGAGCGAAATTCGGCAGTAAGTGATTACAAGTGAATGTAGTAAACCATAGTGCGTTGCCAATTTAACTTGAAACAATGCTTTATACTTATGCGATATGCTTTGTAGACTAGTTGGATATAACATTCTTTTTGATCTTGCCCTTTTCTCTGAAATAATTTTAAGGGGTATTTCTTGTGGAATAATGATTTCTCAACTTTGACAAAATTTAGGGATTGTGACTTAAAACGTGCAACATGTCATTACCCTAACTGAGAATTTTCTAATTTGGACACCGCAGGCTTTACATAATCCCGGGCCTGCATATTTTTTATAAATCTCATAATGGTTTGAGGGAGTGGTGGCACTCTGGTGAGCGCCCCGAGCTATGAACCCAGAAACATGATATAAAGTCCCGGCCATGGCTAACACCAGTGATGGCTGATGAGGCGGTGCTCGTCTACCATGTTACAGCACCCGAGCCAGTCGTGGAAATTCTACGTTCCTATGGTGGGGGCAAGTCTTTCCATGGAACAACCACTGTTGGTGACTTGCCCACAAAGAGATATTCATTCCATGAACCCCGGGAGCGATGATTTTCTGAGTCAACCTCCAACCAAGATTTGAATTCTGAAACCTTCCAACTAAGGGTAGCTGCGTGGCGAGATGTTATCTGCCCCGCCTGGTATGCAGGAGGTCGTGGATTCGATTCCGACCCTTGACGCCTGCTGTATATTTGTAGTTTGCACGTTCTCCCTGCGGTCGCATGGATTTTTTCCGAGTCCTCCGTTTTTTTTCCCCCCTCACATTTAGGATCAACATTCGTTCAAGAGTATTCAGCTGCTATAAATTTCCACGTGATAAGTCACCTGGTTGAGCTATCATTCATGGCCAGGGTCGCTTCTGTAAAAGAGCTTCATAGCTTAGTGGGCCTTACGTAGTGAATAAAAACAAAAAAAAACTGCGAGCCTCTTACACTTCCGCCGAGCCACTCGGCCGGCCGACGAAGGGCCGTTTGTGTCCATCGGTTTGCAGGGAGGACCGAGCAAGAGGAATTCTCCTCGGCCATTTACGCATTTAACTTGACGAGCAAGGCGTGGAGGAAGGAGGTCCCGCTGGCGGGGCTGGCCCCGGCAGCGCTGGGCCACTCCATGGTGTTCTACCCCGAGGGCCGGATGCTGCTCGTGTTTGGAGGCCACCAGCCGTCCAGCACCAGGCCCGTCGCGCGACCATCATTGCGTTTCCCCCTTTCTCGCAAATAATTCACAGCCGGGCTTTTCTCGTGGGGTTATAACCTTGGCGTGTGATCATTAACTACCCCCTAGTTTAGTTAGTTTTTTTTTATTTTATCTTTCCGTTGTTTGTTCGAAGTGTAATTAAGTTTATGAAAGTGTGAGATATGGAATATCTTTGCTGAGAGAATCTATTTAACATTGTAAGCTGCAGAAGTGTCTTGGCTTTTTATTTGGCTTATTAAAATTGATGAAATTGCTTCGTGTACTTTTCAAATATACTGCACAATTTAGCCTGCTTATTTATTTGATGGAAATGTTGTTATGAAACATGACACGTAACGTCTAACTGTGTAATTCTTCAATAACAAATGGAGTGCCTTATTTTGAGATTGTCATTTTTACCTCGGCAATGATCCAGAGTTTGCATAAACTACAGTGATAGTACAGCTCATGCGGCTCATTATAAAAAAAGATCTGTATGAATAAAAAAAAAGCGCTATTTTATATACGTAAAAAAATCAAGTACATTTTACCCTTTAATCAATGTTTTCCCAATGCCTGGCACCGTCCGCTAACGCGACAGGTTTAGCAATCGCGTGAACTCGGTGCACGCTTACCATGTGGACCGGCGGTACTGGGCTCACCTGGGCCGTGACGGGAGCCCCAGCGTGCCGATCGAGCGCGCCTTCCATAGCGCCGTCATCATGGGCACCTACATGGTTGTTTACGGTGAGTCCCCCCCCCCCTCCTCCCCCCCTCTCTCTCTCTCTCTACCTACCTACCGTGGCTGAGTGACTGCTGTTGTGAGGAGGTTCTGCCTCAATCGTAAAAGCACGCAAGAGCTCGGTGAGGCTCGCAGGTTGGCTACGTACTGTGCGAAAGAAGTTCAACATACGTATACACATGTCTGGCTACGTATGGTACGAAGAAGCTCGGCATACATGCATGTTAGCTACGTACGGTGCGAAAGAAGTTAAACATACATATACACCTCCGATTAGCACGGTTGGCTACATGTGGTGTGAAAGATGTTCAGCATACATGTTGGCGATGTACGTTGTGAAAGAAGTTCAACATATATACATACCTCCGATTAGCGCAGTTGGCTACGCACGGTGTGAAAGAAGTTCAACATACGTATATATATGTTGGCAACGTATGGTACGAAAGAAGTTACAAATACATACGTTGTCTACGTACGGTGCGAAAACATTTGAACATACCTCCGATTAGCATGGTTGGCTACATGAGGTGAAAAAGAAGTTCAACATGTTGGCTACGTACGGTGCAAAAGAAGTTCAACATACACACATACAGGTTCATGTTTGAAGTGGAGACCTCAAGTCAGGAATCAAACACAGAAACAAACAATAAATAAATAAAGCGCTCAGAATCAAAAAGTCTGGATAGACCCAAAAATTGGCGCGAGTAACAACGCAGAGACTAATGCACGAAAACCAGAAAATAATTTAATTATGCATCGGACAAAAAAACAATGAGATATACGAACCAAAAGTAATGTTACGTGCTCCTGTAGCAATACTTAAACGTGATAAATATACGAAGAGAAAAGAAAGAGCAATGGGAAGCACTGATGTACTTATTGGCCAAGGGTCGAGTCTGTGCTCGTTAGACCCAGTGGCTCGGGTGCTCTGCCAATCGACGCGTTTGAGTGCGGAGACGTCGCAGGTATATGCTGGACTTTGTCCAATTACCATGAAGGTGTAATTTTGCAGGATTATTCCACACGTAGATTTAAACTTGATAAGTATAAAGTATATTCGGCAGCTGTATCAGTTAATTACCCAACAAATGTCACCGCATTGTGTTTTTTAACCGAGTTCCTGTCCACATTATTCAAACGGTGTCTCATTGTGTGCAGTTCACATTTTGAATGATTCTTTGGTCATTTAAAGTTACTCGAACACAGACAACTTGAATTAGCCCACAGCATATGGGATGGCCCTGGATGCGTCCAATTTTGTTGAGACCTTGGAAGCTAAGTAGGGACTGAGCTCATTTAGCGCTTGGACGAGAGATTGCCTGGAAATACCAGGTGTTGATGACTAGTGCTGTGAGGTGGCCAATATATGGCAGTAGAGCATAGGATATTTGAATCCAGCTGTTTGGAAATTTGAGTGTTAACCCCTCTGGCCTCTTGTGTGCATGGGTTCCCTAGCGTCCTCCCACACGAAGCCAAACGCTCGTTAATGGAACATTTCCAAACATCCTCGAGCAAGGCTGAGATGTTAACTACCTTACCTGGTATACAGGAGGTCGTGAGTTCGATCCCGACCCTGACGCCTATTGTATATTTGCAGTTTTCATGTCTTACTCTCCCCGTGGTTGCGTGGATTTTTCCTCTGGGTCCTCCGATTTTTTCCCTCCACATTTAGAATCAACATCATGCGTTTAGAGTATTCGGCTGCTATATATTTCCACGTGTTAAGCCACTTCGTTGAGCTATCATTTGTGATAGCCAGGTCGCTTCTGAAAAAGAGGTATACAGCTCAGTGAGTCTTACCTGATAAAATAAAAAAAATCGTGTAGTAGTCTTATAGTTTAAAGATTCTTGACAATCTGTGAGGCTTTCCCGTGTAAATGGAGGAAGGGCATTATTTGGTAAAGTCACGTAGTAGGTAGAAATAAATAGGTCACGACGTTTCGATCGCAACACAAGCGACCGTCATCAGGTGAGACAATCACAGCAGGGAGACTGCTGAAACAGGCCAAAGAGTATGGATTCCTACAGTCATGAAAGCTTCAAATCCAGATGGAAGGGCATTATTGGGACAGTAGCACATAACAGAATAACACACGGAGTAAACACTTTTGAAAAATCCATTCATAAGAAGCATATCCTTTACCGCCTGGCCGTCGATTTTTAATAAGTGTAGAATTTTTTTAAAAAATTGTTTACTTTATATATTAATGTTACATCTTGATGTTGCCGCAGGTGGAAATGTTCACATTCACAATGGAGAAGAAAAATGCTATGCCAACGACGTCTATTTTTACCACCTTGGCTGCCATCAATGGGTGAACAAAGATGACCTCATTCAGAGCATCCCTGGTAAGTTCTGATGTTTTCCGCGTGATCACTCGCACGGGTTCCATCGACTGACGAGATGAGAGCTTTCTTTTCGTGTGCCATGGTATCGAGCGAGATAATTGAACTGTACTGTTGATGGAATATCCAAAAGTTCCTGAAATTGGTGTTTCGAATCATTGGCTCTAAGGCACCCGGTTTAGCTTTAAAGTGTGATAGGGTTGTGGGCGGCATTAGTGAAGGTTAGGATAATACCATTTTGTTTTTTATTCGAAACTGATTTTACAAACGTCGCGTTTAAAGGCCCTGTTGTTTCCTGCATCGGGGCCTTGCACTCAAATCGAAACTATACCCAAGACAAAACAAACACACCACGTGGGCAGCCAGTGTAACGCTGCTACGCCGGTTTCATTTCATTACATTTTAACTTGAGACGCGTGTGGTTATGCGTGAGCTGAACGGGGTGGCGATTGTGCTGACCGCGGTTTCGTCCCCACTCCCCACCCCCTTGCCTCCTCCTCGGTGCGAAACCTCCTGCACCGTCGTCAACGCCGCCGCCACCGGCACCGCCGCTGTGCACAGTTGTCGCCGATGACCACGTGCCGCTGCAGGGCCGCTTCTCGCACGTGGCGGCCGTGATGAACGGGAACGTGCTGCTGGTGGCGGGCGGCTACAGCGGCGTGCCGCGCGGTGACCTCATCGCGTACAAAGTGCCCATGGCTGTCGCGCAGAACACTTTCGCCTCCAAAACGGTGGGGCGGTGGTGCAGCAGTGTGGGCGGTATGGTGGTGCGGCGGTATGGTGGTGCCGTGGGGTGACGGTGCAACTGTTTGTGTGTGCGGGGAGGCGGTGTCGCAGTGGTTTAGTCGCGCACTGCACACTTCAGTCTCTCAGCTACAGCTAAAATCAGCGGTGGGTGAATTTTGACCCTAAAAGACCTTGGGTTGACCTTGGGTAAGACAGCGACAGACGTGCAATTCCATACAAAAGTGGAGCAGTGATGTAGCGGTTAGCGCACTGCGTGCCGGACCTGAGATTGATTCCCGGCCGCAGCTAAGATAAAGCGCTGACCAGCATGCTGAAACACAAACAACCCTTGTGACTGACTTGGCGTTGAGAGGGCCATCATCCAGCAGTGGATAGGCAAGGGGCTTTGCATTGTTTTATCTATCAAGTGCCTGGTTGCCATGATTATGAACGGGAGGTGGATGAGTCCACAACAATCACTCACCCCTGCTTTTGTTTTTTCTCTACCTAAGAAGTCCATGCTTGCTTTATTTCGGTCCTATGGCGGAACGCTTATCAAATTCCAATTTTCATGCCTCTCTCCACGGTTTAGCTTTCCGTATAATTTTTTAAACCCAATTGCCATGTAAATTCTGTTTTTCTTTTCCGCATGTATAATTTTTTGGAGAGAGAAAAATGGAAATGTTGTGGAAATACTATACTCCGCTGATTTTGGACTTTGCCTCCAAAGGTTTATTTGGAATTGATTAATGTTTAACAAAGTGATGCCACGCACAATTAGCACGATTGGCTACATACAGTGCAAAATAAGTTCAACATACATACACAATAAAGAATAAACGTGGTAGACATAGTAAAGTAAAGTCAGCAGAGCGAGGCATTCATTTGTATTTAACATTTTCATAGACGCTGCTTGTGCTGCCGCTGCTTGCATTATTATCAACCTCACCATCTTCTTATTTTCAAATTTTCCTTGCTGTGGTTTTCACACCTGATGATGATTGCTTGTGTTGCAGTCGAAACGTCGTGAGCATTTTATTGTTTTCAATTTTTATTATTTTATTGTTTCCCTTCTACGTGACTTTACCGAAAGAACCAAGAATATGAATCCCTGCATTCACGAAAGCTTTAAATCAAAATTTAACCTCACCATCGTCAGCATCATCATCAGCATCATGCATACATCAACGTACATTTGTTGGCAATTTTTTTACCTATTTTTTTACCTACGTGACTTTACCGAATAGAACCAAAGAGTATGGATCCTTGCAGTCACGAAAGCTTCAAATCTAGAATTTGTTGGCATGTTCAAGCACACACGTGAGTGGTTAATGCAGACTCAGTGCCTTCTAACAGCTGTCTTATTTGTTGTTGTTGGAACACCTGAACACATGTCTGACTGACAGAAAGGGTTAAACCTTTTCTTTCTTTATCATCTTGCGACCGGAAAAATGGGCCCCGCTGATATCATCATCATCATCATCATCTTCTTCGCTCAGGTGAATTTTAACGTCAACTCAGTGAACGGCATCCTTGCCCATCTTCTTCCCCGCGCAGCTGCTGTCCCCGTGCTCGTTGAACACCGCGCTGGAAGCGTGCACCAAGGACCCCGAGTGCGCCTGGTGCTCCACCAAGAGCAGCAATCAGGCCTGCATGTCCCACCAAGAAGCCCTCCTGGTGAGAAGAAGTCACAGGTCGCAGTGACCTTCCGCCAAAACGGAGCGCTCCTCTCACTCACGAGCCGGCAAGGAGAGAGTGGATTAACGAGCTTTGGCGATTAGCCGGCGTGTTAACCACCGGGTCCCTCCAACCCTCCACCCGCCCTCCCCTCCCCCTTTTTGCTGCGCAATTCCTCGTCTCCCGTCGCAGCTATGCAGGGAGGAGAGCACGGTGTCGCTCTGCCTCGGCGTCCACCGCTGGCTCACCGGCTGCCAGGCCTGCCTCGCGTTCGCCGCGGGCGGGAAGCGCCTGCCCGGCAGCGTCCCCCTGTCCCGGCTCGCCGAGCCCCTGGGTTGGTGCGTGCAGCACCCCGCGTGCCTGCGCCGCCAAGGTGCGTGTCACGTGCTACCCAAAAATCGCCTCTCCTGGTTCTTTTAAACGTTTTTTTTCTTTTTCTCTCGTATGAATCCGGATCCCGCCGCCTGCAAATCAACCGGGGTTCTCTAGTGCAGTGAGTTCATGGGGTCAGCCTGGTCACCGACGAGCGACATAGAGAACCACTGACTCAATAAAGACCCATAGACTCACTTAGAAACCCATAGACTGTCATAGACACCCGTAGATTTGCATAGAAGCCCATTGACTACATTGACCGAGTTGTGATGAAACATTGTTTAATTGTTTGTGAACTTGTCTTATCTTACGTGCAAAACATTGCTTTTAATTTCTAACATCATTGCCGATTAATATTCAAACACTGTGAGCCTTTTGCTCGGACTGTTTGAATCACATTAAAAGGTCCAAAGGCTTAGCTTGCTAACACGTGTTGGACTTCGAGTAATGTGTCTGTGTGGAAGAATTAAAGCGGCTTTCCTGAAAATAGGCAGTAATTCCACGATGATTACTTTGGCAGCTTGAGCGGGGATGAAATATTCCGTCGCACGCTTGAACCCCTCGATTTTATAACACCTGCAGCACTCCAATTTGCATCATCGCGGAATTCATTCAAATACCGTGACATGTAACGCTGTGCCCGCTGCCACCTGTAGATAACGGCAGCTGCAGCGGCGGCGGCGGCGGTGGCGGCGGCGGCTGGTGGGGCACCAACCCCTCGTTTCTCACCGCCTTCGAGGATTGCCGCTCGCGCGACTTCCCGCCCGGCGTTCACTGGATTAAGCATTTCCAGCCGCAGAATGACAAATATCCCGACGAGGTACCCCCCCACCCCCCCCCACTCCTCGCCCACCACCCCTCCTTTCTGGGGCATCTCGCCGCGGCGTGCGGTGCAGGCAGGCACGTTGCGCGACGACGCCTCGCTAACGCTCGCCTCGCTGACGCTCGCCTCGCTGATCTCCACTCTCGCACTTGAGGCGTGAGAGTGGCCCAAGTTTAAGGCTTCTCTGTATGAAGTTTTGATGTTAGAACCGTGGCGGTCGTTTATTTGTTTGCGACGTGCGGAGCCCTGGCACGTGGATTCACGGTTATGGTCAGGGCGTTCGGAGTTATCGCTGCAGTCCCATTGTTTACAGTTATGGCTAAGGCTCCGTTATTCTAGCTATGCCTGCAGTACCTGTGCGCTTCGAGTTACGGTTACAGGTCCGCTCTGGAGAGGTATGGTTAAGGCGCGATTGTTTATAGTTGTGGTTGAGGCGCCAGTTGTGTGAGACTTGTTGTTAAAGCTGTAAGTGCGTGGAGTTTTATGTGTTGAGGCCTCGGCATAAATTGTTACGGTTCAAGCTTCCCATGTTTGCAGTTATAGGTTTAAAAAAAAAAAATCGGCATTTGCAACTCTGCTGTGATGTTTTTTTCTGCGTACACCGTGTTCTGCTACATGGTTCGTAAGAAAAACAATTAAATCAACCGACTTTGGATTCCCGACATGCCCTTTGGTTACCGATTTTTTTGCGGTGCACCCATTTAAATGCATCAGCGCCGGCTGTGCACATGCCTACGCACACGTTCACATCACCACTTTTAATCTCTCGGGGACGTGCGCTGGAACACTGGACGTTTATCTCTGCTCATCCGCATGTTCCCAGCCTCTCTGCAATTTTTTTAAATTTTAAATCATGGTTATTGAGCTCAGGCCCAGAGCCGGAATATGCCACGTGGCCAGTTACAAGGGTTGATAGAGTTTTAGTGTTTTTCTTTTTATAATTGAGCAAGGATGTACGAACTTGGGAAAAGAGAATTCCAAAATGGAGATGCAAAAATAGAAGTATTTAGACCTGCAGTGTGGTGGTTGGGACGCAGTGTGAATAAGATGAAACAATCAGCCTGGTAGCGCAAGTCTTCAACATGGCTGGAGGAATCAATGAGTGAAGTTTACGTGAACAGTAACCATGGTGGTAGCTATAGAATAGTGATATGGAGGCGACGACCGCCGGCGAACGAGTGACTGGAGTGAATGAGCGAGCGACCGGGAGTGAATGAGCGAGCGACCGGGAGTGAATGAGCGAGCGACCGGGAGTGAATGAGCGAGCGACCGGGAGTGAATGAGCGAGCGACAGGGAGTGAATGAGCGAGCGACCGGGAGTGAATGAGCGAGCGACCGGGAGTGAATGAGCGAGCGACCGGGAGTGAATGAGCGAGCGACCGGGAGTGAATGAGCGAGCGACCGGTAGTGAATGAGCGAGCGACCGGGAGAGAATGAGCGAGCGACCGGGAGTGAATGAGCGAGCGACCGGGAGTGAATGAGCGAGCGACCGGGAGTGAATGAGCGAGTGACCGGGAGTGAATGAGCGAGCGACCGGGAGTGAATGAGCGAGCGACCGGTAGTGAATGAGCGAGCGACCGGGAGTGAATGAGCGAGCGACCGGGAGTGAATGAGCGAGCGACCGGGAGTGAATGAGCGAGCGACCGGGAGTGAATGAGCGAGCGACCGGGAGTGAATGAGCGAGCGACCGGGAGTGAATGAGCGAGCGACCGGGAGTGAATGAGCGAGCGACCGGGAGTGAATGAGCGAGCGACCGGGAGTGAATGAGCGAGCGACCGGGAGTGAATGAGCGAGCGACCGGGAGTGAATGAGCGAGCGACCGGGAGTGAATGAGCGAGCGACCGGGAGTGAATGAGCGAGCGACCGGGAGTGAATGAGCGAGCGAGCGACGTCTGCTGACTTGCCGCAGGTGTACGTGATCCAGAACGTGAGCACGGTGCTTCCGGCGCTGCTGTTGGTGCGTGGCCGGGACGGCCGAGAGAACGCCAACGTGACGGCCGTCTACCGCGGCTTCCTCCACACTCTCGGATTCTTGCTTCAGCTCTCCGTGGAGGTGATGAACATCAACGCCCGGTTCCTGCTGGGCTCAACTCCAAACTCCAGTTCCCTCGCCAACCTGGTCAGTATCCTCAAGCCCGGTTACTCGACTCCGGCGGGCCGCATTGTAAAGATGAACGTGCGATGGCGTGCCACGTGACGTCACGTGTCTCTCGTTGCAGAGGTTGCAGCGTCATATGGAGTCATGGTGTCTTTGCATCGTCACCTCTCATCTGAAACGTGTTGTCTGCAGCTCTCTCATCTCTCGGTTATCTCGATGTCACCTGTCTCCGCGTCTTCATCTCGGCAATCAATATCTCTCTCTGGGGACCACTCCGAGAGCCTCTCGTGGGCCACGTCTAACCACCCCCCCTCCGAGCTGTCGGTTAGCAAACTCTGATTTAGACAATCGCGTTCCTGCCGTCTCGCTGAGCTCGTCAACGTGTTCCCTCGGCCTAGACTTTGGAGGCGAAAATATCGTTGTCGCCAAACCTGGAGAAGGACGACGTAACGCTTCCAAACTCCGCTCGGAGCAGCCGATACCTGTTCGTGATGGAAGGCCAGCAGGACAGCTCCTCCAACCTGGAGAGCAGAATGGGTCTCACGTGGAACACGGACAACATTGACAGTAGGGTACGTGAGCGCGCGTCTTGTTGACCTGCCCGCTGTCATGACCGATAAAACGGGTTGAGACATCTCCCTGCTCAAATGAGCTTCGAGGCATCGGTGCTCATCGCCCGGTTCGCAGCTCCGAGCCAGTGGCTGGAATTCCACATCCCTATGGCAGGGGTGAGTCTCCCCATAGGACAACCACTGTTGACATCCTCACAAAGTGTTACAAACTGTATAGACCCTGGAGGTATGATCGTCTGAGTTAACCCCCCCCCCACCACCCACCCAGGATTTGAACTCACAATCTTCCACTCGCTGTACCGTTGAGGCGCCTGATCAGATGTGCCTAAACCAATGTGTGATGTTAACGCTCGCCTGTGAACAGCAGCAGCAGCAGCTCGCAATGTGCATACGAACGTGCCTCTCCCTTGTCGGTCTCTCCACAGCCAATCAAGAGTCTGCACTTGGAACCGTACAAATCGGGCGACTGCGACCAGCACTCAAACTGCCCGGCGTGCCTCTCCGATCAGCTGTGCGGCTGGTGCCCCGTCAAGGCGTCCTGTCAGCACCGGCTGGGCCCGGCGGGAGCCGCGTGCGCTGCCGAGGGCGGCGTGGAGGTGGCTCCGATGCTCATGCCCGAGGAGTGCTCGCTGTGCTACGTCCGCACGGACTGCCGCTCCTGCACGCAGGTGCGTCTGCGCATGCACGTGCCACCGTGTGTGTGTCTCCGTGTGCGTGGGGAGCGGGAGTGCGGCGGTTAGCGCGCTGTACTACGAAACCGGTGGCCCGAGTTCGATTTCCACTCACAGCCACCAACACTAGTGACGATTTTCTGAACCGGTTGACTCAGCCTCAAATGAGTACCTGGGCAATGTGTAAACATCGCCACTGGAGAGACCAAGGCAGCCGGGCATGGTGTTTGCCACCTGATCCCTCATGCGCCGAGCCGGCCTTCATAGGTGCTCGCTAACAGCACTTGCCCCAAACAGCCTGTTAAGGCTATACGGGGCGCCTTTGTCTTTGTGTTATGAACCTGGTGAAGAAAATATTATTTTAAATTGTTAATGTCATTGCAGAAATCACTCTCAATTCAAGGGAAAGAAAAAGTTATTTAGTGAAAATGTACTTTCTCTGCCCAGGATGGCCTGTGTGAGTGGCTGAGCAAGGACCTGGTGTGCATACGGAGGGGGAGGATTCAAGGTGCAGTACAAGACCCCAAGAGCTGCCTCAAACCCTGCTATGAGTAAGTCTTTGAAAACAGAACAAGCACACGTACACATGAGTTGTACGCTCAAGAGCACAGTTCAATACACACAAGTCCAGGAATGCTCATGAGAACACATAACAACAACAACAGCCGCCATTCGCCACTAGGTGCCGGTGACATGACCACGGCGCTTGTTGCCGGGCTACGTGCACTTTGAGGCCACTTAAAGTGTCGAAGGCTCGCTGGCAAGAGGCCATGGGACAGACGCGGGTGCCATGGGTTCACTGACTTGCTTCCAAGGCAGCCTGTGTTATCCACCACACAAGGAAGGATTGGGTCGAATGGGAATACGTTGGTGTCAAGGCAGGGAGGAGAGCAAGCAAGACGCAGCACAGCCTAGGACGGGCCCAGGACAAACAACAACAACTTACAACAACAAGCCTCAGGGGCAGCCAGGGCAGAACCACCGATTCCTCACGCACCGCTATACAAGTGTCCCAAGCATATTCTTCATCTCATATACACTGACTGAACAATTTTAAGAACAATGGAATAACAACAATGACATGACCATGTGGCTCAAGCGCACTGCGGTTCCTGAGCGCGCGTGAACGGCACAATTGTGACGCGGAGTCTTTGTCTCGTGCCTTGCAGAATGCGCTCGTGCTCGGAGTGCCTGTCCGAGTACAGCGAGTGCGCCTGGTGCGCCTCCACCTCCGAGTGCTTCCCCTTTTCCATCTACCTCGCCAAGTACCCCAACGGGCAGTGCCGCAACTGGCTGGACAGGTGGGCACTGCTGTGGCTACCTTCCAAGTGCAACCGGGTTCAACCCCGGCCCCAACTCTCAGTGTCACCCAAGCGCACATTCGTTCGATTTGAATCAATTGAAAGAGATGTTTACGATCATGATATGAATGCACGGGGAATTCCGCGCGTCATTATGCACTGTCCAACGTCTGTGCAAGTTGCTCGCGAATGGTCTGCAAAACTGAATGTGCCACGTAATCGGGCAGACAACATTGTACAGGCTCGACAGGAAAGTGAGAAAAAATACAAATGATAGGGTATAGATGAGACGCAGGAAACCACCATTATCATGAATCGTGGCGAACCCTCGCCTGAACGCTGAACGTGTCGTGGTCACACCAACACTTGAACTTTTAATTCAAATCTTTGAAGGTCAATTTGTAGCGTTATACAAATCAATTTTGCTGCATGAGTGCAACCAGATATTTTTTGTACACTTTACACATTTAATGTAAACCCACCACACCGAGCACTTATTTTAGTTCCAGTTGGTTGAGGTTCGAGACCACGTGAAGTAAAGCCGTGCCCTCCCAGTGGCTCGGTGGCATTTTTACATTGTAAAAGCTTTTCGTGTTGTCCCCCTATTTGCAGTCCTATCGTGTTTTTGTATTATTCGTTTTAACGTTTCCGATCTGTTCCGACTGGACGTCTGGATTCCTCCAGTACAAATAAGCCTGATTCTCATTCTTTGCAGCGTGACGTCATTACGCCTGTGCCCCAACTGCTCGAGCTTCGACAAGTGCAACGACTGCCTGCAGAGCTTCCAGTGCGGATGGTGCTGGAGCGTGGCCAACCCCACCAAGGGCCGGTAAGCGCCGCCGTGGTGACGCGGTCCCGTCTGCTGGAAGGCGCCGCGAACCAACGGCGCGATGGGAAGCGCTCGGTAATCTCCGCACGGAGAATGAAAGAGGAACACGCGGATCGGAGAGCACTGCGGAGGTTAGGGACGGTTTAGTTTCACGCCGAGGATTTTCACGATCAACGTTGCGATTCATAATTAGATTCGTTAGTCTTGACCACCCCCATCAAGTAGGGGTGATGGGGGTGGTCAAGACTAACGTCGGAATGGCAGCCAGGGCAGAGAATTAACGCGAGAGGAAGTCCACCACGGATAAGGAGCGACAAAATCAGGCTGTGCGTAGAGCCACCGTTCGGGGGAATGCCACATCGCAGAACCGTTAAGAGGTGGCACGACGGCTTGGAGAGGCCTTAATCCACAGCAAAGGATCGATCGTGGCCGATGGCGGCGATGATGATGATGATGATAATGAAGGCAACTGGAACCTTTTGTCAAAACATTAATTCCAACAACGGCTGCAGCTGCTGCGAAAGCGTTCCGCAGCAGGTCAGTCGTGGGACCAATGCGTGGGGGCTGTGCCCGCAGGTGCCTCCTGGGAGACTTCGAGGGCCCGTCCTTCGGAGGTAACTGCTCGCTGGAGGTGCGAGCGGCGCACGCGGACGTTGGCACGGACCAAGAGGTGGCCTGGTCGTACGGCGCCTGCCCCGATGTGGAGGAGTGTACCCTGCGCCTGGACAACTGCCACGCCAATGCCTCGTGCGTCAACACCCCCGACTCGTTCACCTGCCAGTGCCAGCGTGGCTTCCAGGGCGACGGCGTCGTGCACTGCAACAAGACGTACGTACGCGCTACGAACCCGGCGACCCGACTCCCACCCACGGCCAACACCAGTGACAATTATCTGAACTGGTCCTGGGCTTCCCCTAGGTCCACTACGGATAAAAAGGTGGCCGGGCGTGGCACTGTCCACCTACCCCCTCGTGTACCGTGCCGGCCTTTAGAGGTGCTCGCTATCAGCACTTTCCCCAACAGTCTGTTAAGGCTATATGGGGGATCTTTGTTATTTGTGCGTGTGCACCACTGCCAATGCAGCAACATCGCCAAATAATTCACCAAACTTCTATATGCATACATCTTATTGCCTGTTACAAGCTATTGTTTAATAACCTTAGGGACTAACCGTTGCTTGATTATAATTTGCATCGACTGAGCTTAAATTGTCTGTGATGTAGCGCAGGGTGTGAGCCTTTGTAAGTTTGTCCCTCTAATGCGCTTAACCTCTCATGGGCGATGGAACGAACCGCTTGTGCAGGGACGAATAATGAAATGGAGTCTCATCGCTATTCGTAGCTAAAACTGCTCTTGTTATTTTAAGGGTGTTATAAGCACCCATATTAAAAAGGCACAAAACAGCAGAGCTGTCTCATCCATGGACAGGGGGTGGGAACGTGTCAGAGGGAGGAGAGGAGGCATAGCAGGGATTATTTGAGAGGTTAGAGGTGAAAGCAGGATAAGATGGCGGCCGAGACTGGAAGCTGGACGTGTCAATGAAGAGAGCCCTTCCCTGTGTGCTGAGCCTCTGTGTGCCTTCGTACATTCTCATTATGGTCGTCATTGTTATCGGTAGGTGCTACAACCACTGCCAGCACGGGAAGTGCAGCGGGCCCCCGGACTTCGTGTGCCAGTGCGACCTGGGCTGGACGTCCACGTCCCTGCAGACCAACGCGTCCGGCGAGGAGTGCGACGTCAACTGCGGCTGCAACCTCCACAGCGCGTGCTCCGCGGGGGTCGGCCGCTGCGACGAGTGCCAGGGTAGGCGCCGTGAGAATTCGTCCCGAGCCGATGTTCGTTTGCAGCAGAACGGCCCTTCTCTCGCGCCGATATTCCATCCGTGGCACACCGCGCGTTCTCTTCGCTCCGACTTCTCTTCGCTCCGTCGCTGTGCTCCAGTTTATTTTGCTCTCGCGCGGTCACCTTAACCGAAAGCGCGCGACCACGGCGTGCGACGCGCGCAGAGTGGACGACGGGCGACCGCTGCCAGCTGTGCCGCACGGGCAGCTACGGGAGCGCCGTGCAGAGGGCCACGGGGTGCCACCCGTGCCAATGCAATGGGCACGGGGACTCCGCGCGCGGCGAGTGCGACGTGACCTCGGGCGCCTGCTACTGCGCGGGCGACACGGAGGGGGAACGCTGCGACCGGTGCCGCCCGGGCTTCTACGGCGATCCTAGGTCAGCGCCGCGGGGCTGCGTGCCGCCCTTCGCTAGAACTTGGTGTGGGTGTGGGTGGGTGGGTGGGTGGAGGGGAAGGGGATGGCCCTGCAATTGGGTGAGACTGGCAACGGGATCACGCCCGAGAGGATGACCTCGCTTGGAAAAGGGAGGAAGTGAGATGAGCTCGAACCGTCACGGGGTGGTGTGTACTGTGCGACCACTTGGCAAAGGCCTTCATGCAGCAGTGGATAGATGGCAAACGATGGTTGAAATTTGACCAAGGTGGCGTTGCATTATACCGATAAGGGGTACAGCACCACAGCACTCTATTGTGGCGACACGCATTCTAAATACATGCATTGTGCGCGTGTGTGTTTTGCGTCTTGTACCGCTCTACAATCCTGTCAATCTGGGTTACATTCTTGGCCACACACATCAATTTCAGCCTGGCTGTGGTTTGCTTAGCCTAAAGTCATTTCCTGGAGTGCTGCTGCGTTGACTCCGATCCTGCACTGGGCCTAATTGGTTCTTGCTTAATAGCACTTGCTCGAGCAGTCGAATGTATGTATGTTGAGCTTCTTTCGCATCATACATAGCCAACCGTGCTAATCAGAGGTGCGGAGATACCAGGGGCGTATTTGTAATTATCTTGGTGGATCCAATTTGTCCCACACGTCAATACCACAAAGTGTCATTTGGCGTCCTTGGCAGATGTGAAGCTCACACCAAACAAAGGATGTGATTGGAGAATTTATTGTTGGCCATGAGTAGCAACTAGGTGTGCGATGATTGATTGCTCAATATCGATTCTTACTCTCATAGTCTGAGAGAAAATATTAACCAATTTATTATGGACGCAGATTATATGCAAATCATATGCTTGCATTACATATATTTTTTTACTAACCGGTGGCAAAGTCACGTTGCGTGAAATTCACAGCACAATAATACATGGCATGTTGGTTTTTCGCAACGGCTTGCAAAATCCAATCGCGGTATTCCTGGTTGTAGTTGACTCAACTCCTGAAATTGCCCGTGGTAGCGCGTGGCTTAAGCCCAAGAATAAATTCTAGATTTAAAGCTTTTGTGACTGCAAGGATCCATACTCTTTGGTAGAACCAAAGAGCAAGAATAAATTCTCAACACGTGGCCCGACCAAAATAAAACCACGCTTGAGACTAAGATGTTTTTTCGGTCGCTCTGCAACTAACGCGCCACCGTCACGCGCCGTACCGCGCCGCCACCGCCGCGTGGTTTCCACCGCGCAGGGCCGGCGGGAGGTGCTACCTGGCATGCGACGGTCGCTCCTTCCTCTACGACGTGGGGGGCTCGTCGGCACTGGGCTCCGCGTGGGGCGCCGGCGTGGCGCCCGGCGGCCATGCCTACTGCGTGTGGGTACTGCACGCAGCGTCGTCGACGGCGGCGGTGAGCTCGCCCTCGCCGCACCCCGCCAGTCGCGACGTCCAGCCCCGACTGCCGCCGCCCATCGTCTTCCGCCCGGAGCCGAACATGAGCCTGCAGTGCGGGGTGAGGTGACCCATGGCAGCGTGGTGCAACTCCAGCCCTCGCGGCCCTCTGCACCGCCCGCCCACCCAGCTCCTTTCTGCCTCTACCCCATGCTGAACTGGTTAACATTTCAAGTAAAATGTTTTGTTACTTTGGACCGTCAGCCGACGACGGTGCCGTGAGAGAACCATCTGTGAGAAGGAAAGCACTGATTTAAAAACGGGGCAGACCGAGCTCGCAAAGCATTTTCAGGCTCATTAATTTCAGAGGATTACGCGATTACATCATTAATTATCGGAGTATTACCGAGCGGCCACGTCCGCTGTTAGAGTGCTAGACTTGACCGTCGCTCTGCATAAACAAATGAAATGTTTCGTATTCAGCTGCTTAGATGTCCAGGCCAACGTTATGCAGGAGCATTCGTTTAAGGAAGCAAATTCTCAAATGTATTTCGACTTTCTAGTTCTCATTGGAAGTCAGGCTTGTTAAACAAATACTTTCTTGGTTGCAAGATGTCATCGGCAAAGGCACTCCCTTTAAACAATGGGGCCCTCAAGCATAAACAAAGTCTATAAAAACGTACGCATTGTCATAGAGGATCATGGGTACATAAATAAATAAAATGTTCATTTGAGTGTGTCCTCACAACAACAACAATAATCCATCAGCCTCTTGGGCACTGTCTGATGTTGTTACCAGGGCTTAATTTCAGCCGGGAATGTATGGGTCAGTGACCCAAAAAATGTCCTCGGCCAGCACACCACATCCATTGTGGCTAATAGCCACGTGTCAACTCCAGTCTATGAGCGACCTGAAAAATATTCGTTGAGAAATTAACCCTTGGCTGTTCGTGGCTTTGTGGATTTTCACCGGTTCCGACTGTAACATTTGTCAATATTTGTCATTGCCCTGCCCCCCCTCCACCCTGCCATCCCCCCCCCCCCCGCCTTGTCTCTGCAGAGGGACTATGTCTACGTTTATGACGGCGTCCCCAATTTCCTGAGCAGTGGCGCGACGCAGCAGGCCGTGTGGGCCGACCCCAGCCTGATCGCTGCCCTATGTGGAGGGGGAAGCGGGCAAGCGCTCTCCGTGGAGGCACTTTCAGGTTGGATGGCGCGACAGATGCACGGGGCTCACAAAGGGGGCCCAGGGGAATGGGGGAGCATTTATATTCGTGGACCCCCAATCGAGATTGCCCAATTGTAGGGATTTGTGAGCAAAATTAAACGCCTGACCCCCGCAGACAATTCTGACAATGGAAGTTTTAACTTTAAGTGAATTCATCATTGTCGTTTTTCTCATTTGGTGTACGACTGCGGACGGTGTATGGATTTTCAAATGTATACGTTGACATTCCCCGGTGGTGTAAAATGCGATGATTGAGAAAACATGCGTAGTGTTCACTGGTCAGTGTTGTGCATTCACAGTGACTTAGTGACTCGATGTGAGAAGTAAAACAAGAAACCAAAATACGCCTGCGAGGCACGTATTGGCCCTCCTCTTCATGATTAAATTCATTCCCACATTCCTATGGATTCATCTAATACAGAAGACCCGTTAGACTCGGATTGAGACCTACGATCGACTACCTCTCCATGTAGAATTAAACACGCCCACTCTTTCTGCACGGCTTACAGCGTCGTGTTCAGGCATCGCCGATATTAATCCACAATCGTGCGCCACGCCTGTAACGTGTCCCTTCGCGGGAGCAGGCATCCTGACGGTGTACGTGCAGGGAAACTTCTCGGGCCCGTCCGGCGGCACGATGGGCTTCAACGCCACGTTCACCGTGGCCGCGTGCGACGGCGACGCGGGAGCCGGCGGGGAAAGCGGCCGGTGCTCGGCGGGGAGGGTGTGCCAGGATGGACGCTGCGTGTGCCCGGCCGGGTACGGCGGCCCCGACTGCAGCGCCCAGAGCTGCCCCGGCTCGTGTGGCCAGGAGCTCGGCCGCGGCTGGTGCCACCCGGTAAGGCGTGCGGGCGAGCTGGCAAGCAGCACGATTGGCTCGTCACGTGAGACGGGAAGGGAGCGCCAGGTGGAGAGAACCGACCCCCCCCCCCCCCCCACATTCTTTTCCCGTGTATGCAGGGAATACATTTGGGGGTTCCTCCACCCAGAGCATCACGTGAAGGAGCGTGCCAACAATATATAGATATACCAAAGGCGTTTCTATTCGCGCCTACGAACGTTCGATTTCAAACAGTAATTTCCATATTCTGTTACTTGCGTGTGATTTGCAAGGCTGGGCGACTGAAGCTTGGTGCAGCTGGTTTAGCAGGGGAACTGGCGCTACATTTGTTACAAAGTTAATAATGTTTTTTTTTATCTGCACGTCCTCTTTTGCGAAAGCTACTTTCTCCCTGAATGAGTTCTCACATGCTTATTAAAATGTTAAATTGTATGCAGAATTGAATTTACTATTATTTTTATGATTACTACTATGACAATGATGATGATGATAATGCTGTAGCTGAAGAGGCTCTCTTCACGCACTGTGAAGCAAGCGATTAATTATTTAGAGGCACTCCTTTTCCATTAACCTGTGCCTCTGTGTCCACTGCCATCTTGCAGGTCAGCAGGACATGTGTTTGCAGCGCCAACTATTCTGGGCCAGACTGCAACTCTACCAGGGACCCCGACTGGGGACTGTGGGAGCTACTCATGGACTCGTTCATTGAAGGGGTCAGACAGCGTTCAAACTACTCTGGCGTGCATAGTTCCTTGCCCCGGGAGGTTTAAACCTCATAAATTGTACACGCAGACCTTACCGCTCATTGCACATGGATATATCAAGACACAGGAAGCGCCTATTTGGGCTCGCAAAAATATCCTGGCCAGCTCTGCTTTTCTTATTAAAGAAATTACAAAACATACCAAAAGACTCCTTTAATGAATTAACATTTCAACTGAGTAGTCCGTATTTATGCGATGAGCAACATAGATTAGCGAACTGGCATGGGATTACGACGTAGGCCTGACATTAATTTGTGACACTTTTGATTCTTAAAGTGTGTATATATATATAATCCTTCCGGTGTCTGCTGCTTTGGAAATGAGAGCGCGGTAGCGTATTTTTACGGCTAGCGATAAAAATTTTAATAAAATAAAAACATGCTCTTTTTAAATGAACGCGGCCTGTCTCCTGACCGCTTTTACCTCTCGTTGCCATCGCAGGTAAACGGACACGTGGTTAAACGCTTTGGCCACTCGCTCGTGGCCGGGCCCAGCAAGACGTTGTTGCTGTTTGGAGGCTACTCCCCGTCGCTCGGGATAATCGGAGACCTGCACAGGTGAGACGGTTCAAACCGTTGGCATATTTTACCTTTCACTTCACGTTCATTTTTTTATTTAAAGCTTTCGTGACTGCAGGGATTCATATTCTTGGTTCTTTCAGTAAAGTCACGTAGAAGGGAAACAATAGAATAATAAAAACATAAAACAATAAAATTCTCACGACGTTTCGACTGCAACACAAGCAATCATCATCAGGTGTGAAAACCACAGCAAGAAAATTTGAAAAAAGTGGCGTTTTTTTTTTACGTTAGCACCACGGAGTGCAATTTGGCAGTTATTCAGATGGACGAGTCCATCTATGTTCGGAAAAGAGGAGGGGGGAGACGAAAATAATGGATACGGTCTGAAAGCCACCGTAAGCATGAACAATCAGTTAAGACCCGAAATGGTTTATCAAATCCTTCCAATGATTGCTAAGCCAGAATCCATCTTCTCGCTTGAAATTGTCTCTGTGTTTGTATATGTGGATAGCCTCATGAACGAATCTCTCATGGTAGCCCGATGGCTTGCAAAGAACCTCTGTCTTGGAGAAATCAATGTCATGTGAGCCTACTGAATTAACAGTGATCTGCCACGGCCGAGGTGTTGGTCCTACCGTGTTTTAGGTCTGCTTTGTGTTCACGAATGCGGTCCGAGACATGTCGTTTGGTTTCTCCAATGTAACTACTACCACAAAGGCAATTTAGTTTGTAGACCCCAGGGTTCTGTATGTCCGGAATCACATCTTTTACAGATGGAACCAGATCACCAATAATATGTTAATAATAATATGTTATTTTTTTGGTTGGCTTTACATGAGTACGTAGGCTGTTTATCCCTTGCCTTAGTTGTACGATCGATGCCTTGAGATGCATTCACTGTGGATTCAAAGTTTAGGGTCAAGGTGTCTCGCCGTGGCCCCGGTTGTTGATGCCACCACAGCGCTTTGCACCCCCTGCCAAATCCCACAGCTGCTGCACGGTAGACACGCTTTGGTCTTGTTGAAAGTCACACTAGAAAAAGAGATCGATGATTAACACGATGCTGATTTTTCCTGCGGACATCTGCGATGAGACATGTCTTTTGCTTTAATGTGAAATTTGTTTTCCCTTTTGCTTCTGAGAAAACGTCAGACTTTATCTTCACATACTGTACATTGCCAGCAGCTGCATTGGTTTTAAAGCATAGGCTCGTATACTCTGCTGCCGTTGCTACTACGAACACTTTAATCATAGCAAGCTGTGCTCTATTAAATGCCAGGTGAAGGCCTTCCCAAGCCGTCGCCATCTCTCTCAATCTATCGATCTAACAATCCACCTCACTCCTGCACAACAGCTGATTTAATCTCTCCTAAGCTCTGAGGTGCATGCCCTCTGGTGCGTGTTTCCTCCGGACAATTAGAAGGGGGGAAAAAAATCCTTCCTAAGAAACTTCCACGGCGATTGTTTTGCAACTAAATGGCCAGCCGTGGTGAAAAACGCTTGAGAGAGAATTCGTATTCAACGGTGTCGGACGATGGTTGACAAATCGACACGGTTACACTTTATGTGCTACTGTTGTCGCGGTACGCGCGATAAGGTACAACGCTTCGGAGCTCGCGGCCGGATCGTGGGAGGAAGTGCAACCGTCGTCGATGGTGGCAGCGGCCGGCGGCAGCGCCAGCTCGAGTCCCAGCGGCCGGTACTTCCACGCGGCCGCTTGGTTTGGCGCCCGAGGCCTCATGATCGTGGTCGGTGGGATCACTTCAGCTGGCGTCGCCAACGACACCTGGGCATTCAACGCGTCCGCTCTCACCTGGCAAAGAATTGAGGTGGAGGACAGTCTTTGTTTTTTATTGATTATTTTTTTATTATCAACTTTCGACGGTTTTATACCGAATGAATACTTCGTGAGGCGAAGTATTCATTCGGATATGTCCAAGAGCCAGCACGACTTTTTCCAATGATTGGCATAGATGCCCTCAGCAAACAACTTATTCTTTATTATGATTATTATATTCCAAACCCCACGTTTTAATCTACCCCTGCTGCAGTGGTTGTGTAAAGGATCGATCGCAGCGAGCGTAGAAGTGCAAGGTGGCTCCTGGGCTCCAGCCGCCGTCATTGGCAACGGTGTTCCAACGGATCATTTAAATTACCCGCGGCGGCCACAAAAAAAAAAAAAACGTTGATAAGCGTCAAAGAAATGACGCAAACGAAATTGGATATTTAACGCGGTGATTGAGAGAGAGAGAAAGAGAGCGCGCTTCTTCGGCGGGACAGTGGCTAACTGAAGCACCTTTGCCCATGTTCCGGAGGAAATCACTGTTTGAGGTCTCTCTCTCTCAGGGAGGGGAGGCCGGGGGAGCGGCCGTGCTGTAGGCACAGCCGCTGCGTCTCCAGCCGAGGGACTCTCCCGCTCACTCGTGAGCGACAGTGTTCAAAGGCTCCATCTCGCCGAGCGCACACGGCGCACTCCCCCTGCCGCTAGCCGTCGTTGCGTTCGTAGTGACGCATGCACACAGCTTGCTTTTTTTTTTTTTAAAAACAAACCCAACAACAAAAAATTCCTTCTCGCATGCGTAAATAAATAAATCTTCAAAGATTGTGTTCCCTCAGGGATTAATTAGGTTTTTTTTTTTTAACGAAGACTAAAATTTGAGGAATAAAAAAAAAAGCTTCAAAGCCATGTCACTGGAGCGAGGAGATTGTACCCCCACCGCCGAGCACTGTATTTTATTGGCAAGCGTTGACAACTCCGAGCCCTTACCTCACTTACGGTGGTGCACTGTCAGCCCAGCTAAACCCTCCTTGCGCTAAGAGGTAGCACAATGAATTAGTTAGACCTCTACTCAGGACAGCTCCCAGTGAGATCTCTGCAGCTCAATGTTGCGCGTTTGTTAATAGCGGTTATTGAGTTTTGTGCTTCGTAATGCTGTGCATTGCGTGCGTGTGTCCATGCATCCATGCCCTTGTGCTTGTGTCCGTGTATGGATTCGTGTATCTGCGTGTGAGTGTCTGCGCGTGCACGTCCCTGTGCTTGCGTCTGTGCATGCGTGCGTGCGTATATTTGTGTGTGTCCATGCGTGCGTGTCCTTGTGCATGCGTGCGTGCGTGCGCGTTCCCGTGTGTGTGTGCGTGTGACACGTGTGCACCACAAGTCGGGGACGCTGCCCCCGGTGGCTGGCCACACGCTGTCGGAACGAGAGGGCGACTCTCTGCTGCTGGTCGGCGGATACTCGCAGGAGAACGGCTTCAACAGCCACGTGTACGAGTACAGCGCGGCACGGGCGGCGTGGCTGCCCCTCGCCACGGGGGGCTCCCCCCCAACCGGTATTTTCCGAACAAGCTCACGCAGCGACTGCGAGCGGCCTTGTGCCCCAGGCGCGACATAAATCCACGCCTTGGGCCGCAGCCAACCCTGCCCTTATGCCCGTTCATGATAATAGTGCGGTGTCAAGGTGTACCCACATCAAAGCAAATGAGTATAATCGGTGTAGCTCATTTACATTGTTGGTCTTTGAGCCGCTGTTGGACATTCCACGTTGAGCCCAAGAGCTCAGTGATGTGGCCTCTGACCCTTGAGCCACCCAGGCACCTCCTGGCAGGCAGGCGCCGTTTGGTTTTGCATCGCTATTCAGCCCAAGGTGTGTGGCCAGCCCTGACTGTGGGCCTCACATGGTGCTGGTGACAGCGTCGCCCCTTGCATTCTCGTAATGACATTCCATGTTGTTATAGCTCGACCAGTAATCCAGTGGATTAGAGAGTGTAATAATTGGTAATGGTAGTCGTTTTCTTTATTAAGTCATTTGCATTCTCTCAATTGCCCAATAATTTTTCGATTTAAAGCTTTCGTGACTGCAGGGATTCATCTTCTTTGTTCTTTCGGTAAAGTCACGTAGAATGGAAATAAAATAATAAAAATAAAACATAATAAAATAAAATTCTCACGACGTTTCGGCCACAACACAAGTAGCCTTCTTCAGGTGAAGGAACAGAACTGTCGGGACGACAGCATTTCAATGAACACTACTAAGCTTGGCAGCGTCTTTTAAGCTGGGTGGGAGGAGCAGAGCGCCTTGACAAAGGAGTTTACATATCAACAGAAGAATTTAGCATTGAAATAGCTGTGTTAAAGTGTTGGATTAGCGGGGTGTTAAAGTCAGAAATTAGCATGTAACTGGGAGATTACCCCAATAATTGCTTGAATGACACGTGCAAATACGAGTGAACGAAATGCTAAATCAAGCAACGCATTTGCGTAGCGTCACCACTGAATCGTTGCCACCCACACCCCCCCTTGCCTGCCGCCAGGACTATATGGCCACACCAGCGTGTACCACAGCGCCACCCAGGCCTTGTTTGTGTTCGGCGGTTACCGCTACGCCCTCAACTCCGTGGGCGTCTCCGACGAGCTGCACGCCTTCCACTACCCCTCCTCCAACTGGAGCCTCGTCAGCCCAGCGAGGAACGCCAAGGTGGGGGCCTGCTGCCACCTCGACACCGAACACCCGTCACCGCGGTCGCACACGCGGCGACGTCTTTACCTTTCTTACAATTCTTACACCAGGTGCGCTCTCGGCTTCGCGCCACGGGGCGAGGCAAACGTCGACTCTGAAAGCTCGCAGGGAGGTGCAACCGCCACTCTGTTTAGAAAAATGGTCGGCGGAAAGCGAAATTTGCCTCGCTACTTTAGGAGATCCCTTTTCAAGTGATCCCCGGTACACACAGAGTGGTGCGCTGCCCGGTGTTGGAGATTGTCCTTGTGGGAAAGCCGGAAGACCTCTGACAACTCTGATCCTCTCAAGGGGGCCGCTGCACTTTCTCACGCGTTGCCCAACTGTATAGCACACGGCAGTCAAACTGAAGCTTTTTTTACATAAATGTTTTCACGAGAGCTGCAATTTTTTGCCAAATTAAGTGAAAAATCTCATTTGTAATACGAACGCCACTTTGGTGCAGGAAATGTATGGCCGGACTAGAGGCCGTCGGCTAACGGCGCTTAATGCCATTGTGGTCGACCGCCCATTTTGAGCCCAGAATCTCAGTGTTGCCAGCTCGGTCGCTCCGACCCGGGAAGCCATGCGGGCACCCTCCATGGCAGCCGCCAGTTTTATTTTGCCGTTGTGATTCGAGCGGCGACTGTGTCGAGTTCGCTCAACCCGATGGCGTTTTTCGAAAGCGGCGATCATCTCTTGTGTCTTCCGCAGCCCGCTCCGCGATATTTCCACGCTGCCGCCCTCCTCGGTGATGCCATGGTGGTGTTGGGGGGACGCGCTGATGCCCAGAACTTCTCCCGCGCCCTGCTTCTCTATCGCATCGACTGCAATACGTGGATCAACGCGGAGGACATCGGTGACGGCACGCACAGCCAGAGCAGCCCCTGAGTTTGTCCGCTGTAGACGGTGTGGTCGTCAAAGCTGCTCATGTCACTGGGCTATTTGCTAGCGTAGACATCGCTGTTGATTCGTGAACTTCTTTCGCACCGTACCTAGGGATCCTCGCTAATTGGAGGTGCGGTCTTAGAATTGCGCTCTGATTATATTAGAATCGCTCTGTGTTCGTATTAGAATCGCTCTGTGTTCATATTAGAATCGCTTTGTGTTTGTATTAGAATCGCTCTGTGTTCGTATTAGAATCGCTCTGTGTTCGTATTAGAATCGCTCTGTGTTCGTATTAGAATCGCTCTGTGTTGGTATTAGAATCGCTCTGTGTTAGTATTAGAATCGCTGTGTTTGTATTACAATCGCTCTGTGTTCGTATTAGAATCACTTTGTGTTCGTATTAGAATCGCTCTGTGTTCATATTAGAATCGCTTTGTGTTTGTATTAGAATCGCTTTGTGTTCATATTAGAATCGCTGTGTTAGTATTAGTGATGATGGAATAAATATCAATTTACTCTGTTTAAGTTTCAGGCCATGCAAAACGAATGATGTAAGCTGGAATGAAATGCACATCTGTTTGAAGTGAATTCCCATATGCATCCTTTGCTATCTATAAAATATAATGGCTTTTTATATTTGATGCAGGTCACCCCCAGTTGAAATCGAGTAGGCATCATACATTTGTATGCGTTGATTTTTTTCTCGGTTGCAAATAGAGAATTGTAAATCAACTGAAAACGGTGAAAAAAAATTGCATTTAAAGTTATACTTTTGTTATACAATTTCTTTTTTTACATTGACCTCTGAGAAAAGTCGAAATTGTACAGATGTGTGCCTGATTCTTTACTCGCCGGGCAAGTTAAATGTATATATTTTTTATTTTTTTATTCTTTCGTAAAGACGGGAGGATGGCAGGTGAGCCGATGGAGAGGATGACGGCCTCGGCGGCCGTGGAGGTCGGGGGTCGCGTGCTCGTGGTCGGGGGCGTGGACGGCGTGGCCCGGGGTCAGATGGGAGCCCTCTCTCTACCGCGCGACCCCTGCGTGCTGCTCGCCGACCCGGGCCCCTGCGGCGCGGCCGGCTGTGCCTGGTGCCTCGACGGGCGCCACGCCTCCTGCCGCTCGCGAGAGGAAGCCGAGAGGTGACCGCCGAGGGTGTGACGAGCGACGTCGGGACCGGTCCTGGCCCCCCCACCCCCCCGTGCCCCCCCGTGCCCCACCCCCAGCCACCCACAGCCTCGGTAGCGCTTGGATGAGTGACCACCACGCGTGCAGTAGGTGTTACAGGCTGCTACGGGGAGAAGTTGTGGACAGCAGAGGGCAGTTAAGCAACGTCCACTGCACCTTTATGATCCCGCGTCTACGCTTCTCACCTTCACTAACCCACACTGACCTGCGTGGTAAAGTATATCCAAACAACCCTCACAGCTGGTACGGAGTGGGGAGGTCCATAGCAATGGATTGACAAACGCCCGTGAGTCATTATTATCATTATTACTATTAACGATCGCGGGCCGCTGGAAGAAAATCCGCCGGCAGTCTCCAATGCGTTGCCTCTGTTCAGCAGTGCATGGATGCGCGCCCGCTGAACGCTGAACGCTGAACGCTCACGAGCGATCGTCCCGTCCCGCCCCCGCCCCCCCCCCCCCCCACAGGCACGGCTGCGCGACGGTGAACGTGACGTGTCGCGTGGCAGCAGCGTCCGACTCGGAGTGCCGCCTGCGGACGTCGTGCCCCGAGTGCCAGTCACGCCACCCGGCCGAGCTCAGCCTCCAACCTGTGAGCCAACAAGCAACCCCCCCCCCCCCCCCCCCCAACACAAACGCTCACACAGCGCCGGCGGGGACGCGCCGTGCTCGTTCCCATTTGCGAGGGTGCCATCCCGTTCGTGCTTTCCAGCTGCGGTCGAGAGCGTTCGCGCGTCAGTCACTTGAGGGCAAACTTGTGTCGCTAATCGGCGCTTGTCTGTTTGAAAGTTGGGTCATATTGATCGAGGGGTCGCACAAAACGCACAATTTACCTTTTTTGTCAGAAGAAAAAGAAACGGGATGAGGGTATGGGGCAGCAGGCACAGGGAGGGGGGGGGGGCCGGGCCAAGAGACACATGAGAGAGAGAGAGAGAGCGTTACGATCAACACCGCGACACAGCTCAGGACCAAGCAATTGGGGTCCAGTACCAACAACAACAACAATACCAATGAGGCCCTGGGGCAGCCGAGGCAGCCAGGGCAGTAACAACGAGTCCCACGGCATACAACGTACTGTAGTGGGATCAAATAACTGTGGCTTTGCTGACGACCATCGTAACTGGGAGCATTGCCATCATCACGGCAAACTCCCTGTGGGTAAGAAGTTCCCAGGAGCTGCGCCCTTCCCTTGCGGGGTGCAACACGGCACGTGCCCAGCGAGGAATCTCTCACGCAACTCTCCCGGCAGTCGCTGCGGAGGAGCAGTGCGCACCATCTGTTGTTGTTCAGGGAGGCCGATGTGGGTATTTGTTTAACGCTCCGTTTAATGTCCTGTCAGTTGGGAAAGATGCGCACCACCATGGCTCCTCGATAAGCAAATGCGCCGCGCAAAGTATTTCTCATTGTGGCAGGCAATGTTTGCTCTTTGAGTTTAACATTCAGTTACTCGGTTTTTTTTCTATGCGTTTTAACAGGCAGATTATTTTCGAGATAAAAAGCACCCGAGGCAATCCGATCTTTGAGGAGCCATGATCCGAAATGGATTAAGCAATGCACTGCATAAATTATCTACCTTTACGTGTATATACGCACCGAGATGTGTATACAGTGTTTCAATCGCACAGAATGCACATCCGATTGGCACGGTTTGGCGACATAGGGCGCAAAAAAATGTAAACACACATACGGCAATACAACACAGTGGCTTTATAAGGTGTCTCATGGCTACCAGATCTCAAGACAATACACAAAACAGTGACTCAGCCCATCACCCTATTGTGGTCGATAAAATGAATACCTCTTTGCATGGGGAATTCAAGAGTGTGATTGCACTGTGGAGGCAATAGGAATGCAGATTTTCCATCTTTGTCTCAAGAGCTCTGCAAACAGTAGATGTGCACCGACCTCGATGCTTGCCGGTTTGAGCAGAAAATCACTTGGGAAGAGCCCTACGGTCCAAGCTCCGCGTGCGAGTGCGTGCGAGTGAGTGCGTTTTACCTCGCGAACGCGCAGGTGTGCAAGTGGTGCGCGCCGTGCCCAGCGACCGCGGCGTGCGTGTGGCACGAGAGCGACTGTGGCGACGCCACCGCCTGCGGCGAGAGGCAGCAGCGGAGCGACGCGATCCAGGCGGGCGCGTGCCCCGAGGCCACGTGCGAGGCCTCCGACTGCGCCAAGTGCCTGGCCGCCGGCAGCTGCATGTGGTCGCGGCACTTCCAGAGGACGGGTAAGAGCGGCCCGGGTAGGCTAGGCCTGGGCCAGCACCCCTCTGTGGTTGCTGGGAAGGGCTGTGAGGATTGGCGGGCTGCGTCAGTGTGGCCGGTATTTTGGGTCTTTATCGGCGCAGGACCACCACAGAGAGCCCCCCCCCCCCGCCACGTTGGCCTGGTCTAAGTGCAATACCAAACGGTGCCACGAGGAGTTCCCGGGCAGCTCCCGGGGGTTCACCGCACACCGCTGAGGTTCTGCGTCCGAATTCGAGCAGTTGCTCCACCCCCCACCCCGGTAAACCGGGTAAAAAAATATATGGCCCGTTTATGGTTATATTCCTGTAACCACCGGCTGCGCAAAATATAATTCCATTGGATCTTTTAATTCAGCATGCTTCCTGTCCTGGGAATTACAAACATTTAATTTTGCTTGGCAAACGGCGAACATCTTTATAGCAGGGCGCGTGAGAAGGCGGAGTGACCTTAGTGGATAAAATGAAATTCAAAGCATCTCAAAGGTAGTTCTACAATACTGCCATCCAGAGGATGTTCTCTTCACACAGGGTGGTGCTCCACATGCCATCAAGACTTCCGGAATGAACGATTTCCAAACCCCCCCACTCCTGCCCCCTCCCCCCTCCCCGCGACTTGTCTCTTGTAGCAGGGGAATCGTGGCGCATTAACGTGCAGCCGGCGTACAACTGGCGGTGCCTGAGCGAGTCGCTGCGCAGCGCGTCGCCCCTGCGCGTCGAGTCCTCCCCGCCGCTCGCCTGCCCCGTGCCGTGCCACGGCCTGACCACGTGCGAGGACTGCACGAAGGCCAAGGGCGCCAGTGGCGGGTGGCAGGAGTGTGTGTGGAGCGGGGCCCTGCGGCAGGTACAGTGGGTGTGGACCAGCGGCGTGGGAGGACAGGGTGGGCGCGGTGGTAGCAATCCTGCCTCACGGCAAATGGTTCCCGGGTTCGCGTATGCCCAGAGGTAGTTGTTGTGTGCTCTGTCGCCTTTTCTAATAACCCAGTTCCCCGTTACCCCACCTACGGCCGAAACACCCGGAATTTTGACGATCTCATCGGAGCAACGAAAGCCTAGCAGGGTTGAGCCTGGATAATGCTTGGACCGGTGACCACTGTCATGAGCTGTCACGTCATTAACTTCGTCGTGATGGACAGCAGAGGGCAGTTCATCAAGATCCTTTTGTTGTGTGTGCTTCTATGCCCCCTACACCTGTTATCCTTGCCTTCACCTATTTACACTGACCAGCGTGGTGAAGTATGGTAAAATAGCCCATATGACCCTCACAGCATAGGTAAAGCCATCATCCAGCAGTGGATTGACAATCACATCAGCGCCGTACCCACTCGCGTGTCTTGTTTACAATGTGATGGCTCAGAAATCATAATTTGTATTATAGGTCACTGGGGGGATTATACGATTGTTTATTTTCAACAATTGGGAATTGGGCCTGCTCTTCATTAGCTCTGGGGGGGAAAAAATACATTCTTAATTCAGTCGGTGGGGCAGTGGCGGGCAATATCTGAACCATCCCTGGGGGCTCCCACCTCTTCACTGTCCCTCATAGACCCAGTGACTGACACAGCATTGTAAATGTTGTGGATTAGCTCTCCAACACACCGGTGTAACGAATTGGCATGTTCTGTTTACGTGACAAACCTTACTAATTGGCTGTGCCGGGTGATGGGGGGGTTTAACGACACATTTATATTTACGCGCTCTAACCCAGAAAAAAACATTTGATGGATGATATTGGTCGTGAAAGCCTACGTATTAAACTGACAGCATGGGAAGTCCTGCACCCAGCATTCTATTGACAAAGGGGGCTGTGAAATTCAGTCTCTTACTACATTGGTATGCAATTGTAAACACACAATAGACTTCAGTTGCAGTGATTGGCTGGCACTGGAGGGTAATAAGTTGGTGTAAAAAGTGTTGGGACTCTACTGGATACTGAACTTTTTCCAAGACTTGGAAAGCAACGTAAAATTGCATTTTTAAAAATGTGTTCCCGGTTCTTTAGCCATATACGACACACCACCTCCTGCCACTGTTTACCCAAAGCAATCGATTTTCGCTCAGGAAAAGCGCATGTGGCTCTCGCAGTCATTCAGAAATGTAGTCTTGTGATTGATCAATTGTGGGATATTATTACAAATGTTGTGGTTGATGCTGTTAAGCAATTTGGTTAAATGTTTACTCACAGCGTAGGGTGTTCTGGTGACTTCCTGACACCCAGTGTGTGCACATAAAAAGTGCGTACTCATCAACTACGTATCCTGTTACTACTTCAGTTGTCGTACATTAACTTAAAAACAATAATAATCTCAATAAACGTTCACGTATTACACAATTACACATTTTTCTAACCGCCGCTCATTTGACTATATGTGTGTCTCGGTGGCAGGAGGCCGATTTGGTGAATGCCTGTGCAGGCGTTTGCATTCGTTGTCTTGCGCGGCACATTAATGAGTCTCGCGTTCGACCCGACATTCAGACGGTGACGGCGGTAAATGGTGACCTTGTTGGGGGCTGATGCTGCAAGTTAGCGGTCGGGCCACCTCACGTGAAACATGAGCCCCGACCGGTGGCTCGTTTTCTCAGACGTTGGCGATTTTTAATTTGCAGTCCTCCCTGTCGTTCAGGTTGAGCATAGCAAAAATTCTCACTTTGAAATCATTACTTTCCCGTGGGAGGCGGCCGGCTGGCTCGGAGAGGTCAGAGCGCTGAGCCGGCGACGCCAAGAACCCGAGTTAAAATCCAGGCAATCTGTCTGTTAATTTAACTTGGGTTCCCAAGTATGGCGAGTTAATCGCCTGAGGCCATTTAGAATACACAGCGAAATGAATCGTAAAAAAATTGGGCGTTTTACACCATTTGTATAACTGCCAACAGGTCCGGGTATGAAAAATATAATTTGGGTCTGTCACATGACGAAGCGATGCTGTCATTGCAGAGCATACGGGGACAGTGCTGCTGTTGTTGCGTATGGATCTAAATTGTCAGAGGATGTGAGGAAGAATATCTGTGCCTCTCACACGCTGTCTGCACTGCTTTGCAAGATTTCCAAACGGATGAATCACTTCTTAACGCAACCGACGACCAAAATTGGAATGCCACTGGGGGGGGGGGGGGAGGGAAAAAAAGACGAAATAATTAATGTCCATATAAAAACATTTATTTATTGGCGATGGTGCTGTGTTGGCAGTGATTGCCAAGCACAGCTAACAATAAAACCCGACACATTCATCGGGTAATACTGCCCTAAAAGGTAAACACACACTATGTGACTTTTCAAGCGGTGGCCTTTATTAGTAACTTTTCTGTGCTGTGTAACGAAGGGGACCCCATTGCCTGTAACGTCACCTCTTGTGTGTTTCCTTTCGGGGGGGGGGGGCAGTGTTATGGACGAACGTGTCGAGTGTTTTTTTTTTATACATGGTGTGTCTTTTAAAAGTGTACCCAAGTAATATTTATTGTTTTTATTACCATTAAGCGCGAGCCGTATTACAAAGCGCTGATCACAGAACAGAGTGGAAAAAACATTCCGCAAACAACAGGTCTCTGGTATACCTACAAAAGAGACGCCCTTTTATAACTGAATGGTGGCGCGCATTGCGCAACCATTTTGTATCACGGTGATGCACCAGCGGCCAGCATGATTGTCACTCACGGACGTGCCGACTTTCGTTAATTTTGCTCGTGGCACCGCTGCCAACGCGGCGGCATCGCCAAGTAAATTAGTCTCGTCTCCCGTTAAAGGCAGCGTGCCAAACTCGCGCATCTCGGCCAACTTGGCGCTTCGACGTGCGTTGCTCTGCCGTCGCTCGTTCGCGATCTGCGCGATCTTCGCCCGAGAGCCATTTATCTTTGCCCCTAAATCTTGCCGCTCCCACCCCTTTGCCCCCCTTCCCGCACCATGTCTGGCAGTGCGTGAGCCCGAGCTTCCTGCCGATGCGCTGCGCGGGCGGCGCCTGCGGCCAGCTGGTGTCGGGCTCCGCCGACGGCTGCCCCGCGCCGTGTCTGGCGGAGCGGCAGTGCTCATTATGCCTGCGCCAGCTGGCGTGCGGTTGGTGCGCCGTGAATGGCCTCAATGGCCTGGGCGGCTGCATGCCGGGCAGCCTGGCGGGGCCCAGCCCTGGGCGCTGCTCCGTTGAGTTCATCCCGCTCTACGTGCTCGCCCAGATCCCCGGTGAGAGGCACCGTGTCTGTGTCCAGCAGACGTGGGTGCGTACGCATTGATTCCCCATCAACGACGTGCAGGTGCGCTTCCGTGGCCGTCTGGAACTCTCTTCCGATATTAGGAAGGCACTGGAGCTGTGCATTTTAAATCGAGATTGAAAACCCTATTTCTTTAGAATTGCTTTTTGTGTTGAGTTTGTTGTCCTTCCCCCGCACCTCCAATTGGCACGGTTGGCTACGTACGGTGTAAAGAAGTTCAACATACATACATCTCGATCAGTCATCGTACCCTACGAATGGCTTGGTGCAGCAAGCACTGCCTCACCAGGTTTGGTCTGTGGAGAGCCGCAATGAAGGAAGACCCAGCAGAGAATAGTCGATGATTGTCAACCCAAGGGAGAGAAGAGAGTGACAGATTCGTACCGTGATGAACACACCGTGTTTTACGATAGGCGAAATCCACCGTTAAGTCGGTTATTGATTACAAACAAGTAGTATACGTCATTGCATTGTGAAATATAAAATAACAAACGTGTAGCTATAGTAACGGGAAACATGAAAACCATTAATGCTTTGTCGAGATTGGATTCATTCTTTTATTTATTTCTACCGTAACTTACGTGACAGGTTGAGGAATTACTTGAAACTGAATACGGCTCGAGTGGGAGACCTCTTTGCGTTTGCAATGTTACATTTTACAAACGCCCTGCTCCACATATTACAACGAATCATACATTACAAGCTGGTACCCGCGTGAATTATCCATAACGTTATGACCAGCTAATTTATTAACAGCATTGGCTGTGGGTTGCACTAGCACAAATAAATAAAACCTCACCTTGTTTGTTTTTAGCACCAACTTATAACGTCAAGAATTTATCGGAATAAAATAGAGCAGACGGTACACCTCGAAGTCGAACCGATGAATGTTGTAAATGCCAACCATAACGGATTATACAGAACCAGTGATGTTTATTGGTTCCGATATAACATTTTTATTTAAAGCTTTCGTGACTGCAGGGATTCATATTCTTGGTTCTTTCGGTAAAGTCACGTAGAAGGGAAATAATAAAATATAAAACAATAAAATTATCACGACGTTTCGACTGCAACACAAGCAATCATCATCAGGTGTGAAAACCACAGCAAGAAAATTTGAAAAAAGTGGTGTTTTTTAACGTTAGCACCACGGAGAGCGATTTGGCAGTTATTCAGATGGACAAGTCCATTTATGTTCGGAAAAGAGGAGGGGGGAGACGAAAATAATGGATGCGGTCTGAAAGCCACCTTAAGCATGAGCAATCAATTAAGACCCGAAATGGTTTATCAAATCCTTACAATGATTGCTAAGCCAGAATCCATCTTCTCGGTGGAAATTGTCTCTGTGTTTGTATATGTGGATAGCCTCATGAACGAATCTCTCATGGTAGCCAGATGGCTTGCAGAGAACCTCTGTCTTGGAGAAGTCAATGTCATGTGAGCCTACTGAATTATAACAGTGATCTGCCACGGCCGAGGTGTTGGTCCTACCGTGTTTTAGGTCTGCTTTGTGTTCACGGATGCGGTCCGAGACATGTCGTTTGGTTTCTCCAATGTAACTACTACCACAGAGGCAACTTAGTTTGTAGACGCCAGGGTACTGATATGTTGTGTGTGCAATTGAAAATCAAATATTTAAAAAAATACGTATAAAATAGCAAGCCAATATTTCAGGCAATAGCTCTAAATAAAGGGCAGTGAAGAATTGATCTAAATGCCAGCATATTATGTATTTATTTCCACGCTCAAAGGCTGTGCTGAATGGCAAAATTTGCCCATCGCTTAAGCAGCTCACAACAGACGTTGTTCGGTCATTTGGGGGCTTTTATACGCTGGACGTCACGAGATCGCTTTTTATGAATAAAAAAATTTACAACCCCGGAAAAACAGCTCCATGGGCCTTGAGCGCCCTCACCCCCCCCCCTAACTTTTCACTCGTTCCTTCTCTTCCTCTCGGCTTGACTCGGCGGAAAGTGAGCAACTCCACAAGCACGCAGCCCTTTGGGAGATGGGCCTACGAGGCTTGCCCCGCTGAGAACGAGTGCCTCAACGGCCACAACAGCTGCAACGCGAGCGAGGATTGCGTCGACCTGCCGCACGGATTCGAGTGCAATTGCAAGCTGGGCTACGTGCGCGATAGGTGCCCGCCGCTCCCACTGCACGCACGTCCACGCACGAGCACGCACGGGCACGTCCCACCGCACGCGTTCGCACCCTCGGCTCGGGTCAAACAGACCGGCTGGGCTCCGGCGTCCCCCTAAGCCTGTTCAAACGGGGACGGAAACGCTAACTCGGCCACGTGCGGGAAGGATCCCCCCCCCCCCACCGCCACGTTCGGTGTTGGTTCGGTGGGCGGGTGAGTGGGTGGGTGCGTGTTGGGGCGAGTTGAAGTGGATACGTTTTTTTGTTCGTGCGTAAACACAAAGACACACCGGGACTTCCCCCGCGTCGCTCCTTAACGGAACGGCAGCGGGGCAAACGGCGTTCAGCGAGCAACGGCTTCTGCCAGCGGGGCGCACGGAGGGGGGGTGATGGAGGCAGCGCCACGCCCGGCCACTATCGTCTCCCCCCACTGCTCGTGAATAGGCGCACATGTGCCAATTCGGAATTAACCATAACTAAAATATGACACCGAATGAAAACATATACCTTTACGCACCGTGTCTGAAAATTTTCTTCAGGTCATTCATTTTGTTTATACGCTTTGTTAAATCAAACGCTTGTCATTGTTATGTCATTGCTATTTATTAACCACGAGTCATTACATACACTGTTACCTTCTTTAAAAAAAAAATACCCTTTGTCTTTACAAAATATCTTTCATCGGTGCACTCACTCGTTGAACATTAACCATGTTTTTTTTATTGACTTCGATACATAACGGCGCGGTAATGCGCACAGAACACTCCTTTTACTGTTACGGTCCAACCTTCCGTGACGGCCAGCAACGTCCCGAGCGGCCGTTGCTGATGTTTTTGTTTCGCTCTGCGCCGGCGCCGGCAGCACGGGCGGGCCGTGCAGGCCCGAGTGCACGCAGGGCTGCGTCAACGGCGCTTGCACGGAGCCCAACAGCTGCCGCTGCCTCTTCGGCTTCGTGGGGGAGAACTGCTCCCTCCCGTGCCCGTGCAACGGCCACAGCGACTGCCAGCGAGTGGGAGCTCACACCGCCTGCACCCAGTGCCTCAACAACACCGCGGTGAGGAGCCTGGCGCGGAACCGCGCGCTGTGCATCTCCTCCGTCGGATGTTTTGATTCCGGTAGATTTTCCCGTGCTCGTTTCATTAACGAGCGGGTCGATCGTTGTTGGCCTTTATTTCGTTTAGGTTTTATTTTTCCCCCGGTTAGGCAATGGGTGCGTTTTTTTCTTCTTCTTCTTCGTTTTTTTTGTTTTCTTCACGCGTCGTGATTTGTATCGATGACGCGACGCCGGCGTGGGTCCCGCGTCACAGTTTCTGTTTACGAAGCGCTTCTCATGCCACCCTCGCACAGAGACCTCCAGAGCGCTCGTCAGTTGAATTCAAAACCATTCCATATTTTCTTTCGGTCATCTGTGAGTCGGGACTTTCTGTAAAGGAACGCTTTACAGAGTCAAATAAGGGCTTCTTGGAAATTCAAGGAACAAGGGGGACCCATGATGTTGACGATGAAACATGTACGACCTTTGACCTATGTAAAATTACGTGACTGTGCCTCCCGGCTGACGGGAAACAGGGCGACACCTGCAACAAGTGCCAGCCGCTGCATGTGGGCTCGGCGCTGGGCGGCGGCCGGTGCGAGCCGTGTGCCTCCTTCTGCAACCAGAACTCGGACGTGTGCATGAGCCACGAGGACCTGGAGCGCGCGCGGCGCGACCCGCAGAGCTACCCGCTCGCCCCCGACAAGGTACCGGCGATTGACGCGCGTGCACCGTGAGCTCAAGCGAATCGATAATTATCGGCTGACGAATCGTCGTGGCGCGAGCGAGTGGACTGCCGCGTGATCCTCACGGGTGTGCCCGCTTCACCTCGTGTCGTGGCTTGGGACCTCAGGTCATCCAGTGGATCCAACAGGGGGCGACCAAGGACAACCTTGTGTGCGTGAACTGCAAAAACAACGCCTATGGCACCTTCTGCGAGAGCTGCGTCAAAGGGTACTTCCTCCTCAACAAAACGTGCACCAAGTGAGTGTCGTCGCGGCATCATCGTCGTCATTATCGTCGTCGTCATCGTCACTGAGCTGTGTACATTTGCATCAATCTCGCCACGCAAATGTCAGTCGTCGCAGCTATTCTCATGAAAAAAAAAGTCATCCGACCGGCCACGTAAACCTGTTACCGACATCGTCTAATCCTTCACGCTTCCGTCGTGATCGTAATCTGAGCTGCGACTAAACGATGTCCATTTAACGATGCATTACAAATGTACAAACTCATGTGATTATACGGGTATGTTACGGCTTATTTACAAGTTCAAAACTTGCTGTGATGACTTAGTTTCCACAACAGGCGTCGTATTTAAACCCCAGACTTCAGCTGCATTATTTGTATTTTTAGACTTGTTCTTTTCCACCCGGCAATCTTGCTCGGATTTTTTTTGTGTTCTGGTACACAATCTCCCGTCGGTCGTCAAGGCCACCCTTCAAATGTTCAGACATTATTTATCTTTTGTCCCCTGTTATTCCGCAAAAGCACTTAAGTTTGTCCCGGTTTGTGCTGAACCGCGCGCGCTCGCGAAGGTGTCAGTGCAACGGTCACTGGGATTCGTGCAACACGGCCGACGGCACGGAGTGTGTCTGCAACAACAACACGGAAACCAAATGCCCCAGCACCCAAGCCGATCGCAAGGACTGCTGGAAATTCCAGGTTTGGCGCTAATCCTGCACGGTTGCCCATGTCGCTGTCAATGTAAGAATAACAGTAATTAAACTTGAATTTGGAGCTTTCGTGACTGCAGGAATTATTCTTTGTTTTTTTCGGTAAAGTCACGTAGAAATAAGAAATAATAAAATTACATAATAGCGTACACAAGCAATCATCATCAGGTACAGAAGAGCTAAATTTACGAGAGAGAGGAAACACATAACCGCAGATATATATACAGACACAGATACAACAGGGGATACAGAGAGAGAGAGAGACACGTGGGAGCACACTAAATCAAACAGGTTTTAGCAAGATTTGGAAACCATATAACGCAACACAGACGGTCGGTCAAAACACAATTAACGCATGGTCTGGTTGATTGTTCACTTGTAACGCTGCACCGCCGCACTGCATCCACCAAATTCTGTCCCCCCCCCACCCTCCCAAACCACCAAGCTCTGCGGTCCTCTGTTTATTAAGATGTTATCAGTGTTTACATTTCCGAAGCATCCCTGCATCAGCGCCAAATACAGGGGAGAAAGACGCCAATTTAAACGTTATTCCGCGTCAAAGGCTGTGTTCCTGTTATTTCTGGATAGCCTCTCCACTGGTGTAACGTATGGGATTAACCCATGATGATGTTTAACCAAGGCCTCATGAATCGCAGCAACATATAAGCAGCAACACATTCCTTTTCGAAATCCTAAACTGAAACTGGCACGAGAACCTCGTCATCGCAGCAAAGCGCACCACCAAAGCGTGCTTGAACAGCTTTGCCCGAGTCGAAATGGTTTACACCTAGATCCCTTGAATCCTGCTTAAAATAATAAAGTGTCGTTGGCCTAATAGCCGCCGGGGCTATGCTTAGTCTTTGATCGATCGATGGATTTTATTTTGTTGTCACGGGTTAGTAAAAAAACACTCGGCCTTAAACTGTTGTACAAGAACGACCCGCCGGGGACCTTGGTGAGAAAAGAAAAGGAAGTTGCAGCAGCGAACAAATCACAACATTGCAGACACTGAGCAGCGAACTCGCAATCAAGTAAAACAACATTCAAGTCGTGCACCTTTCCAGTAACGCCAGCAGGCAGCACAGAAATACAGCACCAACCCGCGCGGGAATCGCTCACCACACGTGTAAGAAAAGGGAAATCTTATATTAAGGAGCCGTGTTTGCTTCACGGGTACAAGCTAACGACCCCAGCTCAGAACTGACGTGCGGCAACAGAGCGACTCGTGTTCCCGCGGGGGACGCGGCGACCACCAGGGCAGTATTTCACACGTTTGAGCCCGCAACCGTAAAAGTAGTACAAAAAAAACAAGTGTTCCAATCAACGGCTCCGCGGCACGTGTTCCGTGCGTGCGCGTGCGTGCGTGCGTGCAGTGCGCCGGGTGCAAGGAGATGTTCCTGGGGAACGCCACGGACGGGCGGCAGTGCTACCGCAAGGTGACGGTGGAGCAGGACCAGTGCTTCGACCCGAGCTCGCAGAGCAACTGCTACAACGACCAGGTGCAAAACCTGCCTGCCGGACGCACCGTCTTCTTCGCCGTCCAGCCAAAGTTCACCAACGTGGACATCCGCCTCACGGTGGACGTCACGTTCGGCACCGTCGACATCTACGTCTCCAACTCCTTCTCCACCTTCTCGGTGGAGGTGAACGGCACGACCGGGCGGCACGTCGTGACCGTGCGCGACCCGCAGGCGACCGCGGTCGTCGGCAGCAGGGCGGATCACGACACGGTGAGGAGGAGGAGGGACGCCGGGAGCAGCAACTCGAGCGACAGCTCGGGCAACGCGAGCGTCGGCACCACCGGCGCGATGATGACGCAGCGACAGCCGTCGTCGCTCACCGACATTGGGCCCGCGAAGAGGCTGCAGCGTGAGACGGCGCAGGGGCTCATCACCTTCATCACGGTGAAGCATCCGGACCCGATCCTGCTGGTGCAAGGCATCCGCGACCGCCTCGTCATCACGTTCCCCTACACGGTGCACGCGCTGCGCACCAACGGCTTCTTCGTGGTGGTGCTGGGCGTGGGGGCGGGCGGAGGGGACGGCGATGTCAACAACGGCGAGTCGCAGGGCGTTCTGTTTTTCCGGCAGGACCAGGCGCACATCGACCTCTTCGTGTTCTTCAGCGTCTTCTTCTCCTGCTTCTTCCTCTTCCTCTCTGTCTGCGTGCTGCTCTGGAAGACGAAGCAGTACCGCGACCTGCGCCACGAGCGGCGCCGTCAGATCCTCGAGATGAACAAGATGGCGAGCCGGCCCTTCGCCCGCGTCACGGTGCACCTGCTTCTCCAGCACGCCGGGGGCTGCCGCGCCGCCTCCGCTAACGGCGCCGCCGCCGCCGCGCCGGCCGCCGCGGCGACGCCGGAACCGTCGCTGCTCGGCCGGTCGAGGCCGCACGGGCGCCTGGCGCGGTTCTACGCCCGTGCGCAGCACTCGGACTCGAAGAGGGGCACGGCCATCGGATCGTCCGCCGCCGCCAAGGGGGCGATGCTTCCGCCGTTCGACGGCAGCAACGGTAACGTCGGCAGGCCGCCGCACCACACGACGAACTTCGGCGGCGACTTCGGGGGCTCGCGTCGGGGCGACGCGACCATGCTGCTGCTGCGGCCCGGTCCCGTGTCGCTGGAGCCTACGGACGACGGCATGGCGGCCGTGGCCACCGTAATGCTCCAGCTGCCCGGCGGCTCGCAGGCCCCGAACAGGGCCTGCCTGGGTTCGGCGCTCGTGGCGCTGCGCTACAACCTGCAGGACTACTGCGGCGGCGCCAGTGGCACGGCAAACTCGCGCAAGGGGGGCGGGGCCCAGCATTCGGAAAACACTCCCAGCGTAACCCTGCAGTGAGCGAGCGAGGGAGGGTGCTGTAAATACCTTCACGGCTTCTACCGCTTATCGTGTCGAATTTTTTTTGTTTTCTCCCTGGAATATTCATAAAAGCAAAGCGAACAATGAGCCCCGTTGCCGACGCGAGCCGGTTGGCTGGGCCGCTCGGCGTGCGCGTACCAGAAGCGATCGCGACCACATGCACGGCACGGTCTGCGCCGCAACAATCGCCAGCGTCTGCCTCAAGAGACGCCGCTACTCTCCAGCCCCTCATGCAAAGCGATTGAGAGGCATTGCGGCCCAACGCCATGGCATCTGCTATTAAGCACAACCTGTGCAAATCGCTGAAGTGTATTTCTTGAGTATATGCACATTACTACAACAAAGCTTGGTTAGGCATCTCTGCAGCGAGGTTTAAATTGGTTGGGCCCGTCAGGCATTCTCTTTATTTTGTCACACAGCAACATATTACATTTCTTGTAAAAATTTCATACGGTGTTTTTTTTGTTACTGCGTTACTGCTTGCGTGCGTGCATCTGTGTATGCCACCGGCCCATCAATATTTGGAAATTTACACCGTGCTGAATTTTTGAATGTGATGAAGTCTCCTAAAATATGTAAAGTGTGTGCTCATCTACTGGACAAAATATAAAACTTGTGGATGTTATTTTTGTTTTAAATACTCTGGGTAACCACTGCTGACATGAGCACTTTATTTAACAATAACTGTGCACTACTGTGCATTTAACGTTTAAGTTAAAGAGTTTGAACACTGTACAAAACATACAGGATTGTGGGATGTACATTGTACTTGCACTTTTATATATATCTGAATGTTACGTTTGATTTCGATCAAAGTATTCGTATTCCATTTTGCGTTTGGATTTAACTGATTGTATATTCAGGACAAGCGAACATTGGATATTTAACATTCATCCTTTTTTTTGTACATTGCTGTTATTCAGTGCCACCCGTTAACTTGTCAAAGATTTCCACAAAGTGTTTTTTTTCGATGCTCCCGTTGGAGTTGACGTTCAATAAAGAGCTTCCAACGCTGCTACTTCGGTGTCTTGACGCGCCCCCTTCCTTTCCAAGTGGTGTAAACCGCGAATGCCTCCCTCTGGGCCAGTTCACAACATGCTGCATGTTGTCCGGTAGCTGATCCACAATTTACATGTGAATGGAGACAGGTGGTATAGTCATGGCAAGCTTAGACTCGAGGGATCTGGAAGGCAGGAGTTGAGAACCACTGTTTTAGACTGGCTGTTGACGATTCTACTCCGTAGGTTTCTCCAGCCACATAAACCTTTCTTCATCACTTGCAGAGACACACGACACTTGGCATACGAACCGGTATTCAACACGTCTTCTCCGTCTTGCTCAATTGAGCGTTGGGCGGTGTTCCACCTACCTTTCCGGTTCTGTGCCATTCATAGCAGTTACACGTTCGTGTGGCAGTTCGTGTAGCAGTTACACGTTCGTGTGGCAGTTGGTGTAGCAGTTACACGTTCGTGTGGCAGTTCGTGTAGCAGTTACACGTTCGTGTGGCAGTTGGTGTAGCAGTTACACGTTCGTGTGGCAGTTCGTGTAGCAGTTACACGTTCGTGTGGCAGTTCGTGTAGCAGTTACACGTTCGTGTGGCAGTTGGTGTAGCAGTTACACGTTCGTGTGGCAGTTCGTGTAGCAGTTACACGTTCGTGTGGCAGTTCGTGTAGCAGTTACACGTTCGTGTGGCAGTTCGTGTAGCAGTTACACGTTCGTGTGGCAGTTCGTGTAGCAGTTACACGTTCGTGTGGCAGTTGGTGTAGCAGTTACACGTTCGTGTGGCAGTTCGTGTAGCAGTTACACGTTCGTGTGGCAGTTGGTGTAGCAGTTACACGTTCGTGTGGCAGTTCGTGTAGCAGTTACACGTTCGTGTGGCAGTTCGTGTAGCAGTTACACGTTCGTGTGGCAGTTCGTGTAGCAGTTACACGTTCGTGTGGCAGTTCGTGTAGCAGTTACACGTTCGTGTGGCAGTTCGTGTAGCAGTTACACGTTCGTGTGGCAGTTCGTGTAGCAGTTACACGTTCGTGTGGCAGGGACCCAGTTCATCTTCGTGACAATCTCTGGTGGCATTGACGATGAAGACGACGGTTGAAGATCTGCCGCCCTATCTGGTGAGCTTCACCGCAAAGTGGTTCCACCCCCTGCGAGCGTAACATCCGTCGCCTCCGCACGCCCCGCTATCCAGTAAGCAAGGAAAGCCGAGCTTGGAGACAGCGATTAGCGACATTGGGAGAACGACAGCTGCTGGAGGCCCCGCGTAGTCGCGGAATGCGCTCGCTCGCGCGCCGAGCGCTCGCGCCCTGTCTCCGCAAGCCTTGTTGTTGGCCGCTTTAACGCCGACTCCTGGGATTCCACCTTCTGAACGAGCCAATTTTTTTTATTCGCCGAGTAATGAACGGGGACCTGCTGTGCGTGCCCTAAATTCGCGCGCGTGGCTTGCCGGGTGAAGTCCCGCGCGTTCATCCGGATGCGTCAACAGCAGCAATCGCTGAAAGAATAGTAAGGACATCTTAATTGAGCGAGCTGCTTTAACCATCGGAAGAAAATCAATTGGCACAGCATCGCCACGTTGGAATCGTATCCGTTCGTGCGTTGACATTTGTGCGCCGGAGTCTAAACGCCTGGGTTCGAGTTGACCAGAAATCTCAGCTGCTTGCACAACCAAAAACTCAAAAGAGTGAAGCACCTCGCACGCACGTAGAGTGGCACTTCGCGTCGCAGTTGCATGCGGCAAAAAAATGTTTGTAAGGAAATTTCACTTCGGTTTGTAGTGGGTGCATTTCAAGATGCAATCAATCCCTTTATGCAGAATCATGTACTGGTCTGTTGGGATTACGAGATGCGTGTTGAAACGTGAGAACGAGTGATTGTACAACAAAGGAATTGTTTTTAATATATATAACACAACGTTAAAATAGAGCGTGCGCCGTGGTTACGTGTATTGGGGAGGGGGCAGTAGGTTGTGGCCTATTTTCGGTGTTGTCTTGGTGCCTGCTGCGATGCCAAATAAAATAAAAATAATTGAGGGCGGTGTAATATGTCAGTGAAGTCACCTCTTAGCACCGTGTATCAAGACCCCCTTTTTTACCCAAGGGACTCCAGCCTGGATTTATGGTGGCTTCTCAGACACTCCAAAGCCAGTGCTGGAAATTCATGTGTTTGCTTACAATAGGAAAGATATTGGTTTGAACCAAAGTCGAGTTAAAAAAAGAAAGGTGAATTTTATTAGGCGCCTAACAATGACACGTCCTTTTATTAAAACTGTTTTTTTATGCAAATCATAAACCCATAACAATCATGCGCGTAAGAATTGGCTATTTATTATGTATACAGTACTTAGGATGTATGCAAATGATATGCTAATGTTACATTCGAGTTAGTGGATTGGACAAAACTGCATCAACGTGGGATTACAAATGACGGTAAAAAAAAACTGACTAAAAGTCACAGTTCTTGTGGAAAAAGAATTGAAGTGCAGGGAAGGCTGAATCATTACATGCTTTATTATTTATCCTTTTGGATAACAGCTAAAAGGGAAAATGCCCAAAAGGATGTAAACCAAAGATGGAGCGATTACATGGGCTCGCGTGCTGGAGCTAAGAGGGATTGTTGCGTCGCGTGACCGTACGTACAGTGAGGGAAAAAAGTATTTGATCCCCTGCTGATTTTGTACGTTTGCCCATTGACAAAGAAATTATCCAATTTTGATTTAAAGCTTTCGCGACTGCAGGGATTCATATAATTGGTTCTTTCGGTAAAGTCACGTAGAAGGGAAACAATAAAATCATAAAAATATAAAACAAGAAAATTCTCACGACGTTTCGACTGCAACACAAGCAATCATCATCAGGTGTTCAGAAGGACTCGTCCATCTGAACAAACTGTCAAATCTCTCTCCGTGGTGCTATAGTTAAAAATAACCGCCACTTTTTTCAAATTTTCTTGTTGTGGTTTTCACACCTGATGATGATTGCTTGTGTTGAGTCGAAACGTCGTGAGAATTTTATTGTTTTATTTTTTTATTATTTTATTGTTCCCCTTCTACGTGACTTTACCGAAAGAACCAAGAATATAAAGAAATGATCAGTCTATAATTTTAATGATAGGTTTATTTGAACAGTGAGAGACAGAATAACAACAAAAAAATCCAGAAAAACGCATGTCAAAAATGTTATCAATTGATTTGCATTTTTATGAGGGAAATAAGTATTTGACCCCTCTGCAAAACATGACTTAGTACTTGGTGGCAAAACCCTTGTTGGCAATCACAGAGGTCAGACGTTTCTTGTAGTTGGCCACCAGGTTTGCACACATCTCAGGAGGGATTTTGTCCCACTCCTGTTTGCAGATCTTCTCCAAGTCATTAAGGTTTCGAGGCTGACGTTTGGCGACTCGAACCTTCAGCTCCCTCCACAGATTTTCTATGGGATTAAGGTCTGGAGACTGGCTAGGCCACTCCAGGACCTTAATGTGCTTCTTCTTGAGCCACTCCTTTGTTGCCTTGGCCGTGTGTTTTGGGTCATTGTCATGATGGAATACCCATCCACGACCCATTTTCAATTCCCTGGCTGAGGGAAGGAGGTTCTCACCCAAGATTTGACGGTACATGGCCCCGTCCATCGTCCCTTTGATGCGGTGAAGTTGTCCTGTCCCCTTAGCAGAAAAACACCCTCAAAGCATAATGTTTCCACCTCCATGTTTGACGGTGGGGATGGTGTTCTTGGGGTCATAGGCAGCATTCCTCCTCCTCCAAACACGGTGAGTTAAGTTGATGCCAAATAGCTCCATTTTGGTCTCATCTGACCACAACACTTTCACCCAGTTGTCCTCTGAATCATTCAGATGTTCATTGGCAAACTTCAGACAGGCATGTATATGTGCTTTCTTGAGCAGGGGGACCTTGCGGGCACTGCAGGATTTCAGTCCTTCACGGCGTAGTGTATTACCAATTGTTTTCTTGGTGACTATGGTCCTAGCTGCCTTGAGATCATTGACAAGATCCTCCCGTGTAGTTCTGGGCTGATTCCCTACCGTTCTCATGATCATTGCAACTCCACGAGGTGAGATCTTGCATGGAGCCCCAGGCCGAGGGAGATTGACAGTTCTTTTGTGTTTTTTCCATCTGCGAATAATCGCACCAACTGTTGTCACCTTCTCACCACGCTGCTTGGCAATGGTCTTGTAGCCCATTCCAGCCTTGTGTAGGTCTACAATCTTGTCCCTGACATCCTTGGAGAGCTCTTTGGTCTTGGCCATGGTGGAGAGTTTGGAATCTGATTGATTGCTTCTGTGGACAGGTGTCTTTTATACAGGTAACGAGCTGAGATTAGGAGCACTCGCTTTAAGAGTGTGCTCCTAATCTCAGCTCGTTACCTGTATAAAAGACACCTGGGAGCCAGAAATCTTTCTGATTGAGAGGGGGTCAAATACTTATTTCCCTCATTAAAATGCAAATCAATTTATACAAATTTTGACATACGTTTTTCTGGATTCTTTTGTTGTTATTCGGTCTTTCACTGTTCAAATAAACCTACCATTAAAATTATAGACTGATCCTTTCTTTGTCAGTGGGCAAACGTACAAAATCAGCAGGGGATCAAATACTTTTTTCCCTCACTGTATGTGTAGAGGGTTCAACTGAATCGCAGACGTACTCTTGGAGGCAACACATGTATTCAACACCAACACACGGGCTAATTGCCCCTTAACAGAATAACAACCTATGGTGGTGACCACCAGGCTAACTACACTAATTACAACGTAACTGCTACTATGGACCGGACCACAGCTTGGGTCCAGGTCCACGTGTTGGAGACTCGGTAGAACGTCAACGAAGGTTTCTTCAGGATGAACAACAACACCGGTCCCTCTGGGGGACCCGGCTTATATTCTCTGTGGCGTGGCTGGCTCCACCCTTGGCCACGACCACCTTCCAGAACCCTCTAGCAGGATCTGGACCCGGACCACGTGACCACCCCTAGCCCCCACTTGGGGCCCCCGTGTAGACTTAACCGG